CAATCACTGGGTCAAGCTCAGTACCTCACCAATGCTTCCTCCAAGCCCCAGAATTAGACGATTAGCAGATCGGACGCAAGCCATGAGGATGAGCCTGCCCATTCCTAGAAACAAGCCAATCCGGCGACTCTAGTCGACAAAGGAACACCGGAGCGCAGATGATCTTGGCAACAAATGGCGTTTCCTAACCAGAAAGAAAATAACTCGCTACTGACCGAGGCCCCTACAACCAGGTTGACTAGGCAAGGAATTACATAGGAAGCCCCAGACACTGAGAAACCTGTAAATGGAAAGAACGGTGACATGGAGGTCGATATCCACGGCTAAGCGATGGTACCGATTGGACTCGATAGTAGGGAAGTTTCTTCTGCCTTTCTCCTCTGCTCATTCATTTACCCATGTTTAACATATTTAGTTGGAATTGCCGGGGGCTAAACACCCAAGATTCCTCTCTTCGTTCAAGGAGTATATGCATACCCACCGACCGAATCTCGTCTTCATTGTCGAACCACGAATAAGTGGTAAAGATGTTCTAGATGTGATAGGAACAATGGGTTCGATCATTTCAAGCTTGTAAATGCTATCGAATTTTTCGACATCTGGATACTTTGGAATGAAGCTGATTTTTTGAATGAAGATCGGTGGCATCTGGATACTTTGGAATGAAGCTGATTTTTTTTTATTTTTGTTATGGACAGTGACACCCAATTTCTCCATGTTCAATGTGTAGGTCAGAACCAGGAAAAGGTATATGTGACAGCAGTGTATGGCAAACCCAATGACCATGACAGGAAACCGCTATGGGAGGCCATTCGGCGATTAGAGCAGCAGACTAAAGAGCCATGGTTGTTAGCTGGAAATTTCAACTCCATCACTTGCCCATCAGAACGTCAAGGGGGTGCCAAGTTTAACCCCCATAGGGTGTAGAACTTCAACGAGTGTATCAAGGATTCCGGCTTAATTGATGTTGGTTGCAACGACCCAATATTTACATGGACTAATGGCAAACTCTCCCAACGCCTGGACAGAGCCTTATGCAATCAAGATTGGCTGCATCGATTCCCAGAAACCATGACGACCAACCTGCCACGGCTTCGTTTGGATCATCGTCCTATTCTTATCCGTATCGAGGCAAGACATGTACCGCCCCAACAAGCTAGACCTTTTAGATTCTTAGCTCCTTGGTTAACGCATAATGATTTTCCCCGTGCTCTTGATGCCTCTTGGAAACGAGGGAGGGATTGCCTTCTATCTTTGCAGGAAATCCAGGATCATCTTACAGCGTGGAACAAAAATGTTTTTGGGAACATTTTCAGGAAGAAGGCTACCTTACCTAAACAGCTCAACAGCTTGGAATGCCAGAATGAAATTCGTCCCACCATTCATTCACTCAACAAAGAAGGGTGTGTGAGAGAGGAATTGGAGTAGATCCTATGGCAAGAGTAATTGTTATGGATGCGAAAAGCACGAGCTAACCAGATCACCAATGGCGACAAGAACACTCATTTCTTCCATATTGCCACTCTCACAAGAAGAAGACGTAACAGGATAACTAAGCTGCAGACAGACAATGGGGTATGGGAAGAAGACCCGGAGATCCTCAAGTCAATGGCGTGGAATTTCTACGTCCATCTATATATTGAGGACCAAACAGATCAACACCATATCCCAGCCCTTTTCAATGTGTTAACAGCAGAGCAAGTGGCTAATCTTGCATCCACTCCTTCCATGGCAGAAACCATTAGCGTAATCAAGGAAATGGGAGGCCTAAAAGCTCCAAGGAAGGATGGTTTTCATGTTATTTTTTACAAAAAATGTTGGAATAAGGTTGGCATTGACTTCCATGATCATGTTATCGCTTGTTTTAGGGATCCAGATCAAATTAAAAGCTGCAATGAGACGCTCCTGGTGTCATTGCCAAAAGTTGATGTTCCCAAAACAATTGCACAATTCCGATCGATCGGACTATGCAACGTGAGCTATAAGGTGGTGGCAAAATGCCTGGCTAACCGATTGAAGAGTTTTATGGCCCAGCTGGTCGACCCCAACCAGTACAGCTTTGTGCCAAACAGGCATAGAACAGATAACATAGTCATCTTACAGGAGGTTGTCCACACGATGTCGCTACGAACAAGTGCCAAGGGGATGATGGTTCTGAAAATAGATCTTGCGAAGGCATACGATAGAATCAATTGGAGCTTCTTAGAGTCGACCCTTGACGCGGCAGGCCTGCCTAACGATTTCATCAGACTCATAATGGCTTGTGTCACTATCACGAACTTCCAGATGCTTTGGAATGGCGGTTACACCGAGCCCTTTCACCCGTCTCGTGGGCTAAGACAGGGATGTCCTCTCTCCCCTTATCTTTTCATTCTCTGTATGGAAAGACTTAATCATTGTGTGAAAGAGGCAATTGATAATCATACTTGGAAACCCATATATCTTTCTAAGAATGGCCCTCCTCTTACACACTTGTTCTTTTCCGATGATCTTGCCTTATTTGCAGAGGCAGATATGAGACAATCTCAAATTGCCTGAATCAATTTTGCGCAGCCTCAGGAGAACAAGTCAGCAAGGACAAGTCTTGCATCTTCTTTTCTAAAAACACCAAGGACAACACCAGGAGAAAGATCAGTGACAAGCTGGGGATCAAGCAAACCAACCACCTCGGGCGGTATCTTGGAGTTCCGGTATTACATGGCCGGGTCACCAAAGACACGTACAAATACATCCTGGAGAAAATCGATAAGAGGTTGTCAGGATGGAAGACTAGAAACCTGTCTCTTGCATGAAGAGTCACTTTGGCGACCTCTGTCCTCAATGCCCTTCCCAATTATGTCATGCAGACAGCGGTCCTTCCAATCTCAGTCTGTGATATTATTGACAAAAAAAAGTGAGGGCTTTTGTTTGGCGAGCAGAAGAAGGGAAACGAAAAGCACACTTAGTCCAATGGGAGACCATTTGCAAGGCGAAGGAAGAAGGGGGCCTTGGCTTACGATCGGCTAGAGCACTCAACCTTGCCTATATGATGAAACTCAACTGGAGTTTCTTGAATCATGAGAAGGATCTATGGGTCCGTGTGTTACAAGGGAAGTACTTCAAAGAAAATGGTGTTGGGGGCATGGTGATGAAGAAAAGCAGCCAGTCCCGTCTTTGGAAGGGAATGATGGAGGCTTGGCCAGTACTAAAACAAGGATTGGTTTGGGAGTTTAGAGGTGGACATAATATTGACTTCTGGTCCGATCCGTACCTAGCTGATGGAATCATCCTCAGGGACCATATCATTAATGATGGAGCGGGGATCAATTGGGGGGCCTCGGTGGCTGAATTGACGACCAGCAATGGGGGTTGGAAGTGGGACGAGATCACCCCTCACATCCCCCAATGACTTGTCTCTTTAATTTCAGAAACTGACCCACCGGATGAGGAACTCGGCGAGGATATTCAATCATGGGAATGGAGCAAGATGGGCGTTTCAGTCTACGGACGACGTATACAGCAGTTGCAGAATGGATAAACGGTGAAGAGGGCGAGGAAGAGGATAACAACAACTGCCTAAATTGGAGAAATCTTTGGAAATGGGGAGGGCCCAACCGAATTAAACATTTTCTTTGGCTAACTTTCCATGACAGGTTGATGAACAACGCGGAAAGGAAGAGAAGGAAACTAACGGCGGATGATTCTTGTGTAATCTGCAAGCAGGGTCCAGAAACAGCCGAAAACATCATCCGGGAGTGTGCAGCCTCGCGACAGGTATGGCGTAGACTGGGTATTCTTGACAGCCCACTAACTTATGGATTGGCATTTGCAGAATGGCTGGACGTGCATCTGAAGGAAGATAATGGTGGGCTCTTGTTCGGGGTGGCAGCATGGTATATCTGGAAAAGCTGCAACGAGAGGATCTTCCAAGGCGTGTGATAACAATGTAATTGCACATATTTGACCCCCTAGTTCTTATCCGTTTGAGGGGCATAGTCGTGTACTTTTGGCCTATTTTACGCCGGGTTGTGCTATTTTGTCATATTTCAGATCCCAGGCGTCAAAGGAAAGGCTAAGCATGAGTTTCGGGGCATTCGGAAGTCATTTCGTCGAGCTGGAGCCAAAACACGGGCACACCTAATTCATTACACGGCCGTGTTCTCCCAAAGCACGGCCGTGTTCTCTCCAAAACACGGCCGTGTTCTGTGGCTGTGCTTTTACTGCCGAGAGCTAATTCGAGTTTGGCAAACATGAGCTGATTACACGGGCTGAAAGCACGGCCGTGTTCTCCCAAAGCACGGCCGTGTTCTCTCCAAAGCACGGCCGTGTTTCTCCCAATGCACTGGCCGTGTAATTAACCCTAGCCAAAGCACGGGCGGGATGAGGCATTACACGGCCGTGCCCTCGACCGTGCTTTGGCCACTGATGCCCTTTTAAGCAGATTTTCAGCCAAAAGGAAAGGGGAGAGCTGGGTTTTGGATCCCAAACACCCAAGGGACGAACCAAAGAGAGAGAGGGCAATTTGAGGGCATTCTTGGAGTGGAGTTGGAGGATTTCTTTGCCTTGGAATCTCGAGGAAGAAGCCCGGACTTGAAGACTGATCATCTGAAGATTCCTACTGCAGTCTCTCTCTTCTCTATGGAGTAACTTCCCTTCACTTAGGTTTTGAGGAACCCTAGCTATGTTTGTTTGATTGGATGATTGTATGAGTACTCTGACTTGATTATCTTGAGTTCATATTCAATCTATGCATGTTTTCATGATTCAATTCTGCTTTAGTCGAGATTATTGATTCTGCTTTGATCCTATGAGAGGGAATACCTTATTAGGTCAATAGAGCACCATAGATTGATAGTAGTGGATCGATTGCTTTAGTCGAGGGTTGATTCACTGCTTTGTATCGATTGAGAACCTCTTTCGATAGAGGGAGTCTAGTTCAGAACGCCTTGATCAGTTGTTCTAGAGAAGGATACGTCCCTCTAGGCAATTGACTCAAGAGGGCCTTGTTCCTTTAGTCGAGACTCAAGGTCTAGTCAAGGATTCTCCGGATTGTGAATGAAAGTGAAACAAGTTAGAAATCATCAATCGTTAGTCTGGCTAGTGGCTAGGGGGAATCATACCTAAGTGAGTTCCCAACCTGTAATTAGATTAACTTTAACTGTAGTTTGCTAGAGTTTTAGTTCTTTCATCTTGATCTGGTTTGCTAAATAATAAACTGAAGCTGAGTAATAGTAACTCTAGAGACCCGTGGATTCGATATTTATCACTTGAGCCACTATACTGCAGTCCCTTCCATTGGTTACGCTTGGCCATTGTTAAGTGTTGTGTCATAGCGTGTCAAGTTTTTGGCGCCGTTGCCGGGGACTTTCTAGAGTATTAGGAAAGGCAGAAGTTTGTTACTTTAGCGTTTTTATTTTCTTTTCTTTTCCCCCCTTGCTTTTCACTTGGGTGTTTTTGTTTTTGTTGGTGCAGATCTGAATCATGGATCCTCATGGCTTCTCCAACAATTGGGGGTATCCACCACCATCCGGGTGGTATTACCCCGAGACTCCCTGGAGCAATCAAGGAGGAGAAGACTATGGATTCGGGTTCCAGTACCAACCCCCTTACTACGGAGAAAAACCGGACCCCTGGGCATATCAAGAACAACCTCATTACCAAGAAGAATTTCTCCCACAACCAGAACGGCCATCGGCGCTGGAGTTACCCATGGTGGCCTTCACGGGCCATTCTGCAGAGCCATGCTACACTCCACAGCCAGATCCACACTATGAATTGAGGCTTCTCATGGAGAGATCATGCTTCAGGATGGATCATTGTGTCCAGGCCTATCATGAAACAGAGGAGATCCTCATGAACCTTAAGAAGAGCGTCGATGATCTTGAGCGAGCTTGGGCACAACCTGCTCCAGATCACCCTTCTGCTACTATACAAGAAGAGGAGGAGGAAGAAGAAGGCTACAAGGACATTGTGGAGCACACTGAAGTTGTCACGGAGAGCACCCGTGATGATCATGATCAGGAGTGTCATGTCGTAGCCGACCACACCTTCCCACACCCCAAACTGAGCTTTGAAGAGGCGGGCATGAGTGAGGAGATGCAAGAAGATCTCATGAAAGAAATTGCTTGGCAACTTGCTCTCCAATCCGTGCTAGAAGAAGAAGAGCAAGAAAGGGTGCAGAAAGAAGTTGTGGAGGATGACGAAAGTGAAGCTGGAGGAGTTCTTGATCATTTCCCAGGGGTGATACAACATGAAGAAGGAAGGGAGGTTGAAGAAGCAATTGGCGTCCAGGTTGAGGACGAAGTTGAGGTGGAAAAGGCTTGCACCGGCCATGAGTTACATTTGATATCTCCACCAAACTTCGAGGAACTGCTTAGCAAGGACACATTTGCAGTGTCTCTTTGCCAGACCAAAGCCACATCGAAATCGGTCCCTCTTGGTGGACGCGATGGTGGCCAATCAATGCTGTCATATCTGGTTTGGGGCAATGAGACGAGAGAAGAGAAGAAGAGGTCTCGAGGGTGGAGACTTCATCTGCGTCAAGTACATGAGCCTTCATCACCTGTCACACCACATGCTCGTGACTTGAGACTCCACCTCATCGACGAGAACCTCAACTTCAAGGAGGTTCTAGCATGGACCGAAACTTAGGAGCCATCGTCTGGCTCACGACGTGAAAGAAGCGCTTGTTGGGAGGCAACCCAACCAGTCGGTTTGCATTTCTTTCTCTATTTCTCCTCGGTTGAGTCAGTTTTGTTATTTGATTTTAGAGTCAATAACTCAACCTTTGTGAGATTTTGTGTGGTGTTTGTGTTCTGATTACTCTCTCTTTCTGGAATGCACCGCCTGACCGGTTCATCATCATTCACCCTTGATCTGGTAACTTCGTTCTACCCTCCTTATCTTTCCTCCATTGAGGACAATGTCGTGCTTAAGTGTGGGGGGATGTTCGATTATTTATGCGGGTGAATGTTTGGCTGTTTGTGTGCTTGGGGCCTAGTCCACTGTCCAAATTTTTAAATTTGAGGGCTCCAAGTACGTGTTCCTTGCAATTGCCTGCTCAGTATGCTTTGAATTGACAGTCTTTATAGTATCATGCAACCTAGGGAGGTAGTGTAGCACTATGGAGGATGTTGATGCATTTAAGAAATCTCATTTATTCTTCATATTGTGTTGGTTGATTGAGTGAATTAGTGATCTTCGGACCCTTGAATTGTGTGGTGTTGTGGATTCTCTGCCTGTCATGGACTCTTGTATCATGCTTTGAAAATAACAGGTGCTCGAAAATGTGCTTCAAAATAACGTCTCCCGTGCGAATAGGGCGAAAGTGTGTAAGGGGAGATGGGAATCCGTTCCCAATTTCCACCTAGTACCTCCAGCCCCCTTACATGTCTTTCCCCCGCACGAGGCTCGAGACATCCGCTCCTGGCATGGCCGGTAAGAGCCGGTTGGGACCCTTGAAAAAAAAATCACAGAAAACAAGCAAAATAGAAAGAAAACGGGTTCCAACCATCTTCAAAGAATATAGAGCACCTTGAAAAATGTGAGTCCATGATCTTTTGTTTTTGAGAATCTCTTCATCCACAATTCATTTGTCCTCTGTTCACTATTTGCCATGATGCCGACTCGATACTAGTGCTCTCGCCGAAGGAGTTATGAGATGACTTGTGAGTCGGTTGACCTCGTAAGCTGCTAAATGATCTAGGAAGTCCTCTACCTACGATCTGGGTTGTTTGTTGCTATAGAGGTCTGGAGAGTTGCATTGGTTTGAGTTAGGTTTGCTTGGGGACAAGCAAACGGTTAAGTGTGGGGGAGTTTGATAACGATGTAATTGCACATATTTGCGCCCCTAGTTCTTATCCGTTTGAGGGGCATAGTCGTGTACTTTTGGCCTATTTTACGCCGGGTTGTGCTATTTTGTCATATTTCAGGTCCCATGCGTCAAAGGAAAGGCTAAGCACGAGTTTCGGAGCATTCGAAAGTCATTTCGTCGAGCTGGAGCCAAAACACGGGCACACCTAATTCATTACACGGCCGTGTTCTCCCAAAGCACGGCCGTGTTCTCTCCAAAACACGGCTGTGTTCTGTGGCCGTGCTTTTACTGCCGAGAGCTAATTCGAGTTTGGCAAACATGAGCTGATTACACGGGCTGAAAGCACGGCCGTATTCTCCCAAAGCACGGCCGTGTTCTCTCCAAAGCACGGCCGTGTTTCTCCCAATGCACTGATCGTGTAATTAACCCTAGCCAAAGCACGGGCGGGATGAGGCATTACACGGCCGTGCCCTCGACCGTGCTTTGGCCACTGATGCCATTTTAAGCAGATTTTCAGCCAAAAGGAAAGGGGAGAGCTGGGTTTTGGATCCCAAACACCCAAGGGACGAACCAAAGAGAGAGAGGGCGATTTGAGGGAATTCTTGGAGTGGAATTGGAGGATTTCTTTGCCTTGGAAGCTCGAGGAAGAAGCCCGGACTTGAAGACTGATCATCTAAAGATTCCTACTGCAGTCTCTCTCTTCTCTATGGAGTAACTTCCCTTCACTTAGGTTTTGAGGAACCCTAGCTATGTTTGTTTGATTGGATGATTGTATGAGTACTCTGACTTGATTATCTTGAGTTCATATTCAATCTATGCATGTTTTCATGATTCAATTCTGCTTTAGTTGAGATTATTGATTCTGCTTTGATCCTATGAGAGGGAATACCTTATTAGGTCAATAGAGCACCATAGATTGATAGTAGTGGATCGATTGCTTTAGTCGAGGGTTGATTCACTGCTTTGTATCGATTGAGAACCTCTTTCAATAGAGGGAGTCTAGTTCAGAACGCCTTGATCAGTTGTTCTAGAGAAGGATACGTCCCTCTAGGCAATTGACTCAAGAGGGCCTTGTTCCTTTAGTCGAGACTCAAGGTCTAGTCAAGGATTCTCCGCATTGTGAATGAAAGTGAAACAAGTTAGAAATCATCAATCGTTAGTCTGGCTAGTGGCTAGGGGGAATCATACCTAAGTGAGTTCCCAGCCTGTAATTAGATTAACTTTAACTGTAGTTTGCTAGAGTAGTTTTAGTTCTTTCATCTTGATCTGGTTTGCTAAATAATAAACTGAAGCTGAGTAATAGTAACTCTAGAGACCCGTGGATTCGATATTTATCACTTGAGCCACTATACTGCAGTCCCTTCCATTGGTTACGCTTGGCCATTGTTAGGTGTTGTGTCATAGCGTGTCAGCGTGATGCAGGATGACACTGTTTTGGAGCACAGGATCAGAAGTTCGGCAACAACCATAGCTCGAGTACAAGTAGACGAGAGACTTGTCCAAGCAAACAATCGACAGCAAGAGGAACAACAACTCTCCTGGAAGCCTCCGCCACAAGGTTGGGTGAGCGTTCAAGTTGATGGCTCCGTGAGACAACCGGGATCCAAGGCAGCAGCTGGAGGATTGATTCGCGACTGGACAAAAAGATGCTTGGGAGCATTTGTGGAGAATTTGGGCTCCTTCACAATAACACGAGCAGAACTCAAGGGTGATGGTCGGGGGACTTCAAGCAGCATGGATGCAAGGTCACAGAAAGATCCACCTCCAACTTGATTGATCAACTGCTATACACATTCTTACCTCTTCTGAACATCAATAGCAGAGGTATTTCAGTTTGACAAGGCAATTTCAAAGCCTCCTACAACAAAATTGGGAGGTGAAAATCTCCCACACCTACAGGGAATGCAACAAGGCAGCTGATTTTTTGGCTAATAGAGGGCATGAAGTCGATATAGGGTATCATAATTTCAATGTTTCTGATCCAGGTTTGAACTACTGAATCTTGTATGACACTATGGGCATTGCCCAATCTCGTTTAATTTAAGTTTCAGGCAGGGGCGCCCTTTAGCGTCCCTTCTTTCTACAAAAAAAAAAGATATGGTTAAAAAAAAGGTATGGGCTGGATTTACTGTTAGATTCATGAAGTCCAACCAGAGCAGGAATACACATGAGGGGATAACATTCTCATACAATCGGCCACACGAAAGAAAATAACGTGGGCCATTATGGTTGAGTCAGGCCGGCTGTTGATAATGCGTTAGGCCATATTTCGGGTTTTATGCCTGGTTTGAACAGTAATGAAGTTATGTTCATATCTAGTATTTGGGCTTGGGTTTATGTTATTAAGGGCCCAGGATGTCAAGGGTTCCAGCGGGGAGGAAGCAAAGAAAGTGATTAACCCTTGATGTCGTGGCAATGGCATGATGATTCCAAGAGATGAGAGACACCGAGGAAGTACGGCGATGACAAAGAAATTGTTACTTTCCAGAGACGAAGGAAAGGGATGTACATTTTAGGTGGTTGATATGAATAATCATTACACTTTAGGGATCGTTTGGATGCAGGTTTTTAACTTGAGGGATTAAATCACTCGTTTTAAAACCCAGATTTTTAATTCGAGAGATTTGTGTAGGATTTGCATCAAATCACTCGTTTGGCTACAAATATGGCATTCTTAAATGAAAATGTAAAATCACATGATTACCCTTATTTAGTCTAATACTTAGGCAACAACTCAAGCATACTGCGCGTTCTATCCTTCTTCCTCTGCGGGCTGTCTCTTTTGCTTTTGTCCACCTTTTGGTTTCTTTGAGCTGTGCAGTGGAAGTTTATTATTTGTGATGTTGTTGCTTCATACTATTGTATTAGGATACTGATCTAAATCACAGAATGTTGGGCGTGGATGTAGTTGTTAGAATGGTTGGTTTGGTTGAATGAATGTATTGCAGACCATTTGCAATAATAATATGCAAGTCGTTGCTTCTTTATAGTTAAGGAAGACAGTTAGATGAAACCCCACTACTGTGATACCAAAAAGAACTGGAATTAACAAGGATAAACAAAGTGAAGAAGAACATGGTTATTCTTTTTGGCAGTTTTATACGCTGCAACCTTAAACAGATTGACAGATAAAAATCAGATTGGCAGCAACCTTAAACAAAGTGCAGATGAACATGGTTCTTCTTTTTGGCAGTTTTATACACTGCAACCTTAACAAATTTGCAGCAACCTTAAACAAAGAAGATTAAGCATTTGAAAGTAGAGTTACCCTTAAACAAAACAGCTCAAAAGAGTTACCAATGCAACCTGTTCAAATACTTGATTAAGAAAATACAGGTGACTCTTTTTTTTAGATATTATACAATCCCATATATGTGGGTTTCTTAAATCTGGAATGTTTAAAATCTCTAATTAAAAAATTGTTTCCCAAACGAGTGATTTTAATTAAAATCTCTCACTACGAGGGATTGTGCCCAAATCCCTCAAACAAGAGCCTAATCCAAACGACCCCTAGTAAGATTGATGTGGCAATAGTTCTAAGGTAAAAGTATTTTAACATATTTTGAGATTGTTAAGTAATCTTGAGATGATTTCCAATTTTGATATATTCATCTCAACATTTTAGTAAGGACTCTTTTTTCAGAACCTGCTAAACCGAAAAAATTAGTGGTTTAGGGTTCATTGGTTAACCGTTATAAAAATGTTGGTGAACCGTTGATAGAACCGTTCATGATATATAACATATAAGGCTAGTATTTTACACTAATTTAAGAATAAAGTTATCATTCACTAAAAGCAATTTCAAATTCATATCATCTCCAAAATATCTAATAAATCATTCAAACAGTTTCACAAAAAGAAATCATAATCTTTTCATTCAAATTAAAAATTACAGTGCCAATCAATAGAGGAGAACATAGAGTCGACAACAAGGTTAGACAATTAGAAGAGGAAGCATATATAATATTAATAATTATGGTTTGATGGTATTATTTTAAGTTAAAGTATTTTTTTTATTTTTTTGCTTTAAATAATGGACCAATGGATCAGTTAAATCGTGGTGGTTCATTTGATTTTATATTGAACCATGAAAAATCGTTTGGTCCATCAATAATCGTCCAAACAATGAACCGAGCCGCTGTCGTAACTGATTTGGCGATTCTACTGGTCCAACCGTTGATTTGATTTGGTTCTTATAACAATGAGGAAGGTTGATATGACCGCCACATCTATTTTCATTATCAAGCCCAATTAGGGTCATTACTACATGATCGGCGGTTCGAAATCTCGAGATGAATACAGTGCAACTATATATGTATACATGTCTCAAGGATGTTGATGAATTTATCATTTTAATCAAAATGTTTCGAGATAACGAGTAATCCGCAATTTATCGTCATTTAATTTCGCAAGCATACGAAATATTATAATTGGTTCCGAATTCAAAAACCAATAATTATTTGAAAATTTACAAATTTGGAAAACGTTATTTGTTAGGGTAAATAGTTATTTTGTTAGTGGTATAATCGATAACTGAATTGGAATCAATGATTAACGGTTTGGTCGATAACCGATTAAGCAGTAAACGGTCGGTTCTCGGTAGCCAAATTTGGCTAATTACTAATCAACACTTAAACGATTAGTGACCGACGGTTAAACGGTTAACTGACTCAGCGATTACGGTCATCCTCATAGCTAGGGACGAAAATAATAAGTCTCGATGAGCAACAAACATAGGTAAAAAATAATGGGATGTCTGAAGGCCTACAAGATCCCTTTCCTACCCTAGTTGTAATAGTGACTTAGGTTAAAATGAGAATAATGTGAAGGAATAACTTTAGTAGGAGCACTTAGAAAGTTGGACTTACATCCAGTAGCTCGACAACAATTAGTAACATTTAACCTTTCATGCGATTTGGTTGGGTTTATGATTTGAGTAATTATTGTTGGCTCTTTTATGTGGATGATATGATTGTTACGGGCAGCGATCAATATGGTATTCGGGATCTTACTCAAATTCTGCATAGTGCTTTCAAGCTAAAGGAGTTGGGCACTTTGTCATATTTTATGGGTTTGGAAATTCAGCGATCTACCCATGGGCTCTTTGTATGTCAACATAAGTACATAATGGATTTGCTGCAGGATGCGCAGTTTGCAGAATGCAACCCTGCGTCTACTCCCATGGAACAACACTTGAAGCTTACGTCTCAGAGTGGAAGTCCTTTGTCTTCTTCTGAAGGTACGCGCTACAAGAGTATTGTTGGTAGTCTCATCTACATGACTTCTACTCGGCCAGATCAGTCGTATGTTGTCCAAATCGTTAGTCAATTTATGTCTTCTCCTCGTACACACCATATGGATGTGGTTCATAGGATTCACAGGTATCCCAAGGGCACATCTCAAATTAGCTTGTTTTCCCCTTCCACTGGTTCAACTTCTCTCATGGCGTTTGCTGACGCGGACTATGTCGGTTGTCAAGACACTCGTCGGTCTACCTTGGGATGGTGTGTAAAGTTGGGTTCTTCCATTATTTCATGGTGTTGAAAAAAGCAGGATCGAGTTGCTAAGTCATCCACGGAGGCAGAGTATCGTTCTATGTTAGATGTGAGTTCGGAGCTTGTCTGGTTACATAGGCTGCTTGCTGAGCTCCAGGTGTACTGTGAAGTTCATGTCCGGCTGTTTGCTGACAATATTAGTGCTATTCAGATTGATATGAATCTGGTCCTTCATGAGCGTACTAAGCACATTGAAGTTCATGTTCATTGTATTCATCATTTAGGTTCAGATGGATGGCTTCAGCTCCAATACTTAACCACAGACGAACAGCCTGCAGATCTCCTTACTAAAGCTGTCTCGACCAGCCGGCATTGGTTTCTTTCACACAAACTGATGTTGCGTCAAGCACCATCAGTTTGAGGGGGGGTATTGAAATGTAATTTATAAAAATGGTGAAAGTGAGGGACCATATTGTATAAGTGTATATTATGGGGACTGGATAGTTTGTGGTGCACACGCCTAAGTGGTTAGGGTTGTGCATACCTGCTATGTATCCCTGATTTAGGGTTTATGGCAATTGAATAATAAGAAACAAAAAGAACTCTTAACCACCGTGGAGTAAAGTCTCTGTGAGGGGCCGAACCACGTTAAATCTCAAGTCTTTGTATCTACTTTTCTAGATGCATATTTGATTGTTTAACAGTATCCTCTTTAATCAAATTTGGCAGTAGAATGACGTTGTTGTGTACTTGTGTTGGATTTGGTTGATTATGGATTGCAATATATGTTTATTATTATTTTTCAAAGATAACTTAAAAAAACACATGAAAAATCATTAAAAAAATGCACAATTTAGTAAAGAAGGAAATCTTATGCTAGTTAGGTTACCAATCGGTTATTTTGGTGTAACATTGCCGAATCACATGACTAACAGTTATCCAGTTAACCGAAAAGTAACCAAAAACCGACTACCGACTACTATAAATGGTGCAGTCAACAATAAATACAAAGTGTTTAACAATTAACTGAGAACCGACTAAACTATTCCAGTTCTAGCCGAACCGGCTGCCAAACCTATAAAGATAGGTCTCATAACAAGTAACCACCAGCAAGTTTGTTCGCATGCTTGTTAGGTGTTAGAAACATGTGTTATAATGCGTGCACACAATAATGAGAACTTAAAATTAATTTATTTAGTTTAATGAAAACAACCCATCGGTAAATGGTAATGTCTAATTAAATGAGCTTGCGTGCTTGAACATGTTTACAGTCTTCGAAAACAAGAGATCACCAAACCTTTGTTGCCCGTCTAATTATTAGAGTCGACCATCTTTTCCCTTTTGTGACATTTTCCCAACCCAAGTTATACCATATAATCTTGTTGTTTAATAATTTGGCGGCGTGCTAACTAGGTTGTTTCACAGTGTAACTAGGTTGTTTCTCCCCTTCCTCTACCACCCACGATCCATCATCCCGCTGGAGCTTCTTCACATGATTTTTCTTACACTGAGTACGTGTCACCGTATGAAAATAAGAGGAATTACAATCCCCCAGATTAAGCAACCGTAATCTCAATTTTTGGCGCCTGAATATTTCCTCCTCCGCCCATTTGCGGGTCAAGTCTGCTTCCAATCGATTAATGCGGTCCCAGTCAACCGGAGCCTTCTCCTTCAACGTCGCGATCTCAATTTGTAAAATCCATATCTACAACAGAGCTTTAGTCATACCTGCTTTGCTCCACTTGACAAGGCGATACCTCAACATCTTCAATCTACACCAAAGCTGGTACATTGCCGAACCCTGAATATCCTACGCCCAAATTTCTTCCACCATCGGTTGCACCTTAGGATATGACGCCCATCGAGCATCAAACCAAAAAATATGCTTCGTATCCCTAGTAAATGGCCGGTCAAAATAATGAGAGCACGATGATAGGAGACTAGTTCCGTTCCATACTCGACCATCGTGTCGGGAAACTTCGTCATCTAATCCGGCAAGGCAAATGCCCAATCTAACCTTTCTTGAATACAGGCCTCCCCCATTCAGCGATTCGACCAGGTGAACAGGTTTCCCCGGAAAGTTAGGTCATGGATTCCAAGCGCATCGAAAAATTGACAGAACTCAATGACACGCGATGGATTCAAAGCATTTCCGCCATATTTTCATGTGACATTAAAATTTCATTAAAATCGCCCAACACTATAAATGGATAGGTTCCCTCTGCGTGGTACTCTCGCAAAGCCTCCAATTGAGAGGCACAAATCGACACTAGACAACTTAAGTAAACAAAAACAACACCATACTGAGTTTCATTATTCGTAACCAAAACAAAGACAACAAAAGAAGAGCTAGACAAAATCGACACTTGAACCCCGAGCACCCACCTTACCTCTCATCCTCCTATGAATCAACGACATCAACAAGAAAGAAATCAGAAAAACCTAAACCCCGAAGCCGACGGGAAAAGACCCTATGACGCGATCTAGATTCAGAAAAAAATACAATAACATGATTATTCGCCCTTACTACCCCCAATAACGAATGCAACGTGAGGGAAGGCGCGATTCCCTGCACATTCTAGGCAATAAACCTCATTTATCCGATTGGGGCCATTCTCGGTTGGCTACCTCCACCGCTGGATTAATCATCACCCCATCACCCCATCACCCTTCTCGCCCGTGTCCAAACACACTTTCTTTATCGATGTCGTATTCTACTCTACAACATCCATAATGTCAGCTTGTCTCTTCTTGTCAGCACACTCATCACCTTCCGGCACCTTCATCAGGAAGAGGACCTTGCGCACACTCTCATCAGCAACAATCATGGACTTCACCCCCTTTGCCGCAGCCTTGACCTGAACCTCCACATCCTTTTTGTTCTGCTCTTCTAGATTTGACACCAAATCCTTGACCTTCGACCCCTTCTGAGCAAAAGCTGATCCAGCCCTGTTCTCCATAGCTCCCCTTTTCCTCGCTTCCCATCAACTAGCCCTTTCCCAGATCACCTACCCCACCGCTAATCGTCTTGATGAATCAACGACATCAACAAGAAAAAACCTAAACCCCGAAGCCAAGGGGAAACGACGCTACGACGCAACCTAGTTTCAGAAAAAATACAATATCAGGATTATTCTCCCTTACTACCCCCAATAACGATTGGAACGTGAGTGACTGCCCGATTACCCGCACATTTCAGGCAATCAACCTCCTTTATCCAATTGGGGCAATTCCTGGTAGGCTACCTCCACCGCTGGATCAATCATCACCCCATCACCCTATCGCCCGTGTCCAAAAACACTTTATTCATCGATGTCAGATTCTCCTCCACAGCATCCACCATGTCAGCCAGTCTCTTCTTGTCAGCACACTTATCCCCTTCCGGCGCCTTCATCTGGAAGAGGACCTTACGCATACTCTCATCATAAACAATCATGGACTTCACCTCCTTCGTCGCATCCTTGACCTGAACCTCCACATCCTTTTTGTTCTGCTCTTCCAGCTTTGACACCAAATTCTTGACCTTCGACCCCTTCCGAGCAGAAGCCGATCCTGCCTTGTTTTCTATAGCCACCTCTTTTCCTCGTTGTCCATCAACTAGCCCTTTCCCCACCTACTCATTGCGTTGCTCTTTACCAGGCACCCTCTCCTTTACTTTACCACCATTAGCTCCCTTCGAGTGGCGCCCAACACGATCCCATATCTTCTGCCTTTTGGTCCCATTCTCTCGACCATGAGAGCCTTACATGTTAGCCTTCTCTGGTAGCGACAACTTGCTCTCCCCTGTTTTTGTTCGGCCCATATGTTTAGTGCCAGAAAGAGGAGCATACCTGTTCCCATTCCCTCTATCCTCATTCGACAGCCAAGACTAGGAGGCAGGCAGACCAAGAGCAATTCGGCACGACATTGAGGATGTTTACCGTTATCCTAGCTCATAACTCCTCTTCTCTAGGTCATCAGCTTCCTCCCCTGGTTGCAGCTGGAGCACCCTTTCTTTCACTGGCCATGGCGTTTGCTGGACCACCCAGTCCATGGCCTTGGCGTCCTCGAACAGAAATTGCAGTAGACCCTGCTTTGCCTCCAAGACCATCACTTTGCAGTTCCACATCCCTTTGAAAATTCGTTGTATGGTAGTGAGTCTAGGTGGATTCTCCGTGAATAACTTCCCCAAAAGGCTGAGCATAGCCCTCTCCATGCTTGCAGCTACATCCTCCATCTCAAATTCGACGACCTGAACCAGATCCATAAGGTGATCAACCATGTTCGTCGTGTTCCCTTTTGCCTGGTACTGCCGTTGAAAGACTTCCAAACACCAAACAAAAACCCAGAATCAAACATAAGAGAGGGACCAAATCAACCATAATTGAATTACTACCATCTCCATTTTTAGGGTTTTACCTTCAAGTGCAGGTTGGTTCAGCTGTTCTAAACACTGAATCCGCTTCGCACAAATTCTGAATGATTTGTGAGACTGGTGGAAACGATTCGCCGATGTTAAATACACCCACCACGGGGCATGAGTAAAGACTTTGACTTCAATCATCTCTCTACCAGGGCTTATCCACTGTCGATTATGTGAAATCTCTAGATTTCCCCGGATTTGAGTATATCTTGCCAGATAATCATCACCAGAAGATGCCTCTAATATTCGAGGAAATTTCTCCCGAACCTAATCTTGGGGTTTCCTTTGAGTGTGAGTCTTTCTCCAAATCCATCTCTTTCCTTAATCAGTCGCTCGTACCACCACTACCATCTTGAACCCTTTTCGGCGTTGCGCTGCAATAAGAACCAATCCGGCCATCCCAACCGATATGTACGCTTCTTGGGATTTGCCATAGATAACCCAGCGAGGAGCAAAGATACCAATCACCCGAAGAAAACAAAGAGAAAGTACAGAGCATCGTGGAGCATTTTTGTAAGACTATTTTTAAAATAAAATAAAAAGAATATAATTTGAATGAAATGTACATATTTTAAATATTTTTCTATTTTTTATGGTTAAGATATTTTGCTAATGATATACCCTTATCCAAAGGAAAAGACTATTTTATATATGAATTACATTGGATAGAGTTTTTTTTTAGGATAAAAAGCAACAATTACGGCGCATTAAAAAAATAAAAAATACATAAAATTTTGAGAATTGTGGATTGGGCTTCAAAGAGTACGCGACAAAGGGATTTTTATCAAAGGAAATCAAACGATGCAACAATTGAAGGCGGGGGATCCTGCTCAATGGTCCTTGTGGATCTTTCTACATGCTTACTGCTGGAATATTTGGCTGGAAAGAAACTCGAGAGTTTGCAATGATGTGGAGGCTACTCCTCGATTGCTGGCTCTAAAAAGTTGGATGTGCTATTGCTCAGTGGCTGAGTGCAGCGAACAAAGTAGACAGAGGTATCACTGAGAACTGGTTTAGAGGAATGAAGAACAGTTTATTTATTCCCAGGGATCGATCCCTGTCTGAAAGGCGGGTCTCTTGAATTCAGGAATTGAAACTGAGTGTCAGTACTCTAGTTTGGGTTGGAGCGATGGCCTCGGTACTAGTTGGAATTTGCGGTTCGAAGGGGGTTTGTTCTTTTCTAGGCTTATTGGTGTCTTTCCCACACTTGTTGTTGTGATCAGGTCTCCCCTTGCTTTGGAGCCTTTGTATTTCGTAGCCCTGTTTTGTTTTCCTTGTAACTTTTTGGATTTTACTTCTTTAATTAATATTATATCACCCTTATAAAAAAAATATTTTAAGATTTAAGATAGGGTGGTAAAACCACAACATCGAAAATAGATGACCCTTGTAACCGAATCAAAATGGTCAAGGGTAACAATTATCCAAGAGAATTAAGCATTCATAATGTTGTTTAAAAACCAAACTGTTTTTGTTTTGTGTTTAATTATGTATAAGGTCTGTGAGTTTCTATTTATTAACCGTTTTCAATGGTTTTCAACTTTAACTGAACCGATGGTCGCAAAATTTCTGATTTCAAATCATCAAGAGGAATCGTTAAGACTTATTAACTGTTTGATTGTTATTTCGACTGAATAATGGAAAGAAAAAAAATTCCATAGGGTTAATTTACGGTATAGATGTTGTCTTGAAGGAGCAAAAGAGTTGTTTACCACTAAAAAATCACTCAATACCACATTGATTATTTTCAAGGAGTGGTAGTGATTTATAAGGTCAACTTAACCATATTAATTAAATTGGTTTAAACTGGGCCTAAATGATGGTATTTTGACCTCAACACACACCACTTGACCCACCAAACACCCACCTATCATGCAAGAGGGGTCAAGTGCCAAACGTGTTGACACCCTTCAACATTAACCACCCAAGTCGGCATGGTGGGGGCAAAATTTGGCTAAGTGTTAAGACCCAACCAACAAGTGTTGTGACTCATAGCACAAGGGGGGTCAAGCATGACATCGTCCAAGGGAGGTCAAGCACGGCATCATCCATGTCATACTGTCCAAGGGGGGTCAAGCACCAAGTACCATGACCGCCTACCTACCTTGCACTCGGGTATAAAGCATGATGACGTGCAAGGAGGGTGATATCAAGTACCCCTAGTCATGATGGGGAAACAAGGCGAAATTTGGTTAAGTGTTGAGCCTTAACCACAAGAGGGGTCCGCCTACCTACCCTTGCACTCGGGGTATCGAGCATGTGGCCACAAAGGATGGAGAAATTTGGCTAAGTGTTGAGCCTTAACCACAAGAGGGGTCAAACATGACATCGTACCAGGGGGTCCAGCGTGATGTCATGTAAGAGGGGTTAATCATGATTCATGTGAGCCTTAACCACAAGAGGGGTCAAACATGCCATCGTACCAGGGGGTCCAGCGTGATGTCATGCAAGAGGGGTTAATCATGATTCATGTAAGGGGTGTCAAGCATGGTGTCGTGCAAGGACATCAACACAAGTAGCAGGCATCGCATGGGTAGTTATGTCAGCCATGTATATCATCACATGGTAGACCACCTTGTCAAGACCCTGCAAGCATGATGCCACCCCAAGGGGGTCAGTGTGCGTCCATCAAACCCCCAAGCACTCTGGTGTCGAGCATGACGTCATGTCAAGGTGGTTAGCACGAGTACCACCAAGCGTGAATCCTTCACTTACCAAACAAGACACCTCCATGGCACAAGGGTTTAACTATCAAGTGAAGTCATCAAGTGGCAAGCACGCATGACAGTCAAGGCGTCAAGCAAGCTACATCAAGCACTAAGCAGTGGAGCAGCGGTTACCAAGAGGCGGTTGCACGACGGTTACAAAGGATGATTATAAATAGGAGAAACAAAGACGAAGCAAGGGTTCCACAACCAAAAATTTGACACCACATGTCAAACTTATCTTTTCTCTGCAATGTAGCCATAACTGTAGCTTTTAGTTTTTGGAGCTCTCACTGAACCTCCGTAGGAATAGAGTTACATAACTTAGCTTGTTCCCAAAAAACCATCAAACACCCGCGTTCGAACATTGTTCAGAGAGGAGTGAACGGTGTTATTATCGTTGTTCAAGAAGTCAAAGGTGCATTCAATATTGTGTTCAAACACCAGATTTTCCTCGCCGGAAAACAAGAGTGATAATACTTTTAGTGTTATTTTCCTAATAAAATCTTTTTTAATAAAGGACACACAGGTAAAACCATGTAAAAGTAACAATAAAATTTAATTAAAATCCAAGACATTTATCTTTGATCTCTCTCGAATCTGACCCTTTTAAGATCTCATTTTTACTCTTCGACTTCTGGCACCCCAATTATTCTCTATCAATATCCACTTCTGGCACTCACCATCGTTTCTTCTCCTCCATTGTGCTTCTTTTGATCCTCATGATCAATCCACTTTACTTATGGAGCAGTTCTAGCAGTTCAAGTGATATCCAACAGTTAGACCAAAATGTAAATTTTAATAAATTTAGATACTAAAGTGTCATAATAAAAAAATTAAGGTACCCAAACATATTTTGCAATCTCATTTTGCATAGAAACATTAGATTATAAGTACCAAACAGTGAACTATAAAAATATATGTACTAACCTATAATTTGTCAATTATTCATGAATCCAATTGGATTTGAATTATAGATTGTCATCTCTCTTCTCTTCATGGCCAAGATTCGACCGCATGGATGACTAACTCATCGCATCTCCAAAATAGATTGTCGCGGTGGTTTTCTTGAGTGTCCCTTTGCCATTCTCATTTCTGAATACGATCCTAGTTCTGTTAATGATTTCCGCCAATACAGTGTCGTGTTCTACATAAATGAAGAAATTGTGCATCGTTGGAGATCGAGGATCGTCGTTCTCTTGTTGTCGCTGAAGGCAATGTTGTACAGCGGCTTTGTGGTGTCGAAGAGGAGAAGGATCAATTTATTTAAGAGAGACCTCTCCATTGATGAAATGAGAGTCGTGGTCTCGTGGAGATTTGCAACCAAATGAACATAGTCGATTCCTTCTTAGCGAAGAGACTCCTGTTTTTTTTTTTTTGGCTTTTTTTGTTTGAGTAAGTATGAGATGCATCTGTAATCAAGTTTTGATGTAGAAAGTAGTTGTAGAAGGAAGTTAGATTATAGTGGTGGTGGCCTGGGTTAGTAGAGTATATAGTAGCAGCATATATAGGTCTGCAGCAAAGCTTCTGTACGAAATGTGTATAGTTTTTGTAGTCCTCCAAATTGGGGGCTACCATGATCTTAATAAATTTTGTTATTGTCCATAAAAAAATTATGAGATGTTGGGACTTTCCAGATGAGTGTGTACCTAAGATACTCCAAAAACGGGAGATTAAGATCAGAGTCGCAAACTATATTTATTTTTTGAAAAGAATATTTTCATTATTTATAAAGTTTTAGGTTACAGAAATTTTCTTCTAAGGATAAACATATCACCATTTTAGGTTTTAGAGTTAAAACGTTAAAGCAAACTTAGATACATTCACATCCTTCGTCTCCCTCGCAATCGATCCTCTGGCGAGGAAATTGGGGGTGAAATATCTGTGGGGGATTGTCAATTTCTTCCTAGGGGTTTGCTTTGTGATGGGTTGGTTCGTTAGGGTTAATGATCAATTCGATCGTCCTCCTCTTTGTCTCCCTCGCAATCGATCCTCTGGCAAGGAAATTGGGGGTGAAATTGCTGTGGGGGATTGTCAATTTTGTCCTAGGGGTTTGCTTTGTGATGACGATCGATATCACTAGAGTGGCGGAAAGAGAGAGAGAGAAGAGGAGCAACGGCGATGTGGTGGTGGTGGAGCCGTCGGTGAGGACTAAGAGCGCGGCGTTGGCTGTGTTCGGAGTTTTGGGCCTGCCGCTGGCGGTGACATACAGTATTCCGTTTGCGATGGCGTCGATCTACTCGCATAGATCTGGGGCGGGGCAGGGGCTTTCGCTTGGGGTGGTGAATATGTCGATCTGTTTTCCGCAGATGGTAATCTCGCTGTGGAGCGGGCTGTTCGACGCGGCGTTCGGCGGTGGGAACTTGTCGGCGTTCATTGTTGGGACGGTGGCGGCTTTTGTTAGTGTGATCTGTGCCGCTACTATGCTGCCGAAGCCGAAGGGTGCGGCGGGATGGTTTCGAGGTCGAGACCGTTGTGCAGCTTCAACAGAGGCGGTGAAGTTGGGTTTTTCGCGGGGTCGGAGCGAGAAGCTCTGTTTCCGGAGCAAAAAACACTCCATCTCTGCGGCTCGGAGCTCTAGGATCAATTGGCTGGTATTCGGCCCTATCGGAATCAAAGCTACCGGCGGAGATTGCATAGTACGGGACCACAAGATCGGAGCACGAGACGGCGGGAGGAAATGAAATCGGTGTGTCGAACGGTTTCTTGTGACCGCCGGCAACGATAAGCCGGGAGCAGGGGCCACCGACTCAATCGACGAACCGCCAGTGGAGACAGGGCAGACTGATGTTCTCCTGTGAATGCGGTATTGTCGGTTACAATCACGAACGAGGTGGCAGTTACGCTTCTTGGCCTACGGTTCAGATAAGTACTCCCTTATAATTTATTTATTTATTCTTATTATTATTATTAATTATTTCATTCCCTTAATCATTATCCTTCTTTCTTTATTTTTTTTAATTTTTCTTTCCAACTTTTTCATTTTTCTCGTATGTATTTATTGCCTTCTTTTTAATATTATATACTTGCAAATTGTTATGTCCCCGAATTTTAGGTTGTTTCCTTTTATTAACAAAAAAAGAGGTTTAGGTTTGTAATTGGAGGTGCCGGTTATCTAGGATTTCCTGATGAACCTGGTTCTCTATTTCAAGGGCGAAATGCTGCCTTGTGTCTATGTTGACTTGTTGGCTCTTTGGCCTGGATTGTCCTAGTAGGGGCCTTTGTTTGCTCATTTTGCAGGTGAAGATTCAATTGCACAATAGTCTATCAGTGGCGGATGTCTTGTCCACTAGGTGGAATTTTGATGAGCTTTGATGGTGCACTTGGTAATGACGCCCCTGATGTTGATGGAACCCCTTGAACTCTATTAATGTTTAGTTTGATGGTGTGGTCAAGCATAGTCACGAAGGTAGTATTGGCTTTGTGGGTTTCCAATCGTCAAGTAATATTCTCTTTGCTTTCGGAAAGTGTTATGAAGGATTACAAGATCCATTTGTTATACTGGAGGCCATACAATGGTACCTGACACATTCCTTTGTCTCTGTCAAATTTCATTGGGATTCACTACAATTGATACGGCGGGATGGTGGGAGGCGACTTGGCGCATGATCGGGGTGCAGCTCTACTGGAGGATGCTCGGAGCTTAGCTTCTCACTTCAGCTGGATTTCTTACTGCTTTGTTTTTCGCCGACTAAATAGGGCTGCCCATCATGTGGCACAAAAGGCCCTCTCATCGGGAGTTCGACTATTAGTCGACTCCCGCCCTTTTTTTTCTTTCTCCTTGTGACTATCTTTTCAACACTGACTTTGTGGGGAAAAAAACTTAGATAAGAAGAAGAATATTAATCAATTTGATGGTCCATTGCATCATGCGCACCATACATATATTTATTAGGCCTGAATTCATGCATTGTCTCATTAAAGTTTTCACTTATCCATAAAGCATTGTTTTATGAAAGGTTGTCCTTATCCATGAAAATGCAACCGTCACTTAAACAAAGGGCATATCCCTTCATGGATTTAGAATATTTTAACAAGAGTTCCATCCAAAAAGAATATTTTATTATGATGGTCGAACCGAAAACTAGTTGGTCTCAAACTGGTTGACTCGGTTAGTCCAGGTCAACTAATTTTTCATCATTTCTCCCACATTTTAATGTATTTAAAGAATCCACTAAAATTACAACATTCTTCTAACAAAACTGAAGAAAAACATAACATATCCTGACATTCATGAGCATGTGGAGGTGCCTCTAATTCCGGTAAACAATTTCTTGCTACCGCCAAGACACTCATAGATGCGATTTATGGCAAGTTAATATTGCAAGCTAGGAGTGAACAAATAACATTTTCATTTATTATAATATAAAGCATTCTCATTTTTAAGATGACTTGGATTATTGTGATGTGTCTATTGATTTTGAGACCGCACTCGCCATCACGAGTGCGGGTACTGACGATTTCCTTGAGCGTTGTTTGTTACTAGGGGAGCAGGCATCACAAGAGCTACAGCTGGAGGAGCAGTTGAATGGTGGGGTCATCAAGGAGCACAAGACTTGGGTGGAGAGGGCTAGACTGGTGGCCTTACTGAAAAATATGCACGAGAACTGGTATGGAAAATCACTGACATTAGAGGCATCAACCCTTCTTTTTTGTTTACATAGGATCAGACTAGTGGTGTAGCCACAACGGAGACTAAACCTAAATCTGAAGAAGTTGGTGAAGGCAGAGATCATCAAGCTTTTGGATAAAGGAAACATTTTTCTGATATTTGACAGTGAGTGGGTTAGTACCGCGGAAGTGGTGCCCAAGAAGGGTGGGATGATTGTTGTCCCGAATTAAAAGAACGAGTTGATGCCGATGCGGACAGTGACTGGGTAGATAGTCTTCATTGACTACCACCTCCTGAACGATACCACCATGAAGGAACACTTCCGTCTACCCTTTATTGTCCAGATGCTCGAAAGACAAGAGAGAGGTGAGTTCTACTGTTTCCTGGATTGTATGTCCATGTGTTTTCAGATTTTCACTGTCCTTTCAGTACATTCGCCTATCAACGGATCCCTTTTGGGCTCTACAATGCACCAGCTACTTTCCAGAGGTGTGTGATGGTAATCTTCATGGACAACTTCTATGTGTATGGAGACTCATTTTCTCATTGTCTTCATAACCATGAGCTCATTCTCAAGAGGTGTGAAGAGACGAATCTGACACTGAGTTGGGAGAAATTCCATTTCATGGTGCGTGAAGTGATCATCTTGGGGAACAAGATCTCCAAGAAGGGGATCAAAGTAGATCGGATAAAGATTGACACTGATTATACGTCTTGTAGAGAGTGTCACTCTTGGTTCTCTGAGTTTGTTAATTATCTGATGGGAAAGTAGTTGTCAAGGGGGATGACGATGCATGTGAACGAAACTTCTTCTCCGAACTGAAATACTACTTATGGGATGATCCATACTCGTTCAGAGTCAGAGCTGATGGGATGATCCATCATTGAGGCCAAGATGGAGGCCATTCTGACTCATAGCCATGAGGGGCCTACTGGTGGCCACCATGTTGGAAACTTCATGGCGAGGAAGGTGCTACAATCAAGCTTTTATCGAAAATTGCTCTTCAAGGATGTCGAATTCTTCGTACGTTAGTGCGACCGATGCTAGATGTTAAGTAACATCTCTTCCCAGATGCCCCAAAATGTGTTCATTACTTGTGGAATTTTTTATGTTTGGGGAATTGATTTAATGATCCCCTTCCTTTATTCTTTTGGCAATCTCTATATTCTTGTTTTTGTTGATTACGTCTCAAGGTGGGTTGAAGCACAGGCTTTGCGTATCAATAATGCAAGATGTGTTTGTTACATTTTGAATCAGCTCTTCTCCTGGTTTGGGACACCGAGGGCCATCAACAGCGATAAAGGCACCAATTTTCGGGTCAGTTTGACAAGATCCTCTCTCACTATGGTGTCACTCACAAGGTGTCCAGGGTGACCACCCTCACACTAATGGTCAATCAGAGCTGACAAACCGGAATTTTAATAGAATCATTAAAAAGATGGTAGATCTATCCCGCAAGGATTGCTCTACAGAGCCCGATGATGCTCTATGGGCCGATGGCACTGCTTACAAGATGTTGATTGGTACATCACATTTGTGGATTGTCTATGGTAAATCTTAGCAATTACCAATCGAGCTAGAGCACAAGGCCTTTTGGGCCCTTAATCTGCTTGACTTGGATTTAAGTGCAGCCTGAAATGAGAGAAACTGTAGATGTTGGATCTAGAAGAGTGTGTTACCACGCCTATGAGAATACACGCATGTTCAAGCAACGAACAAAGCATCTGCACTATGCTCGTTTCAAGGAGCACAAGGAATTCCAAGCTGGCGATCCAGTTCTCCTCTATAAATCTTGCCTGGAGCTCTTTCCCGGGAAACTGAATTTGAGATGGTTGGGCCATTCTTGGTCACCCAATTCTTCTCTTAACGCATTGTGGAGATTTTCAATCAGCAGATTGTCACCTTCAAAGTTAATGGCTATCGCCTCAAGCATTACCTGGAGGCAACGTGGATTGTACGAAGGAGGTGATCTACCTTGAGGACGCTTAGTTCCTCCTGTTGCGTGTAGCTAAATACGTTAAAGTAATCGCTAGTGGGGAGGCAACCACACCTTCGTTTGTATTTTTTTTCCTCTTTTCTTTTTGACTCGACTCTACTGTCACCCTAGGAATTGGCCAAGTGCAACCACTCCCTAAAGCGTAGTATAGCTGGTTTAGGTTTATATGTCAACCCGGGTCCTAGATTTGCTGACTACTCAGTGAGTTCTTGTTATCTAGCAATAAAACTCGAGTGCAAGTCTAAACTACCAAACAAACAAAGCAAGTAAACTGGTTGTATTCAGGTTAAAGAGGTCACCCGAATATGGTTCCCCCTAGACTGCAGTTAAGCCGGATTGTAATTACCAAGTTCAGTTTCTACGATAGTTATACTGTGGAAGGTTCTTAAACAGCCTGAAGTCTCGACTAAAGGTCTTCAGACCCTCTCAATCTGACTCTCTAGCGGGCGACTAACCTCCACCGGAGTCGACAGATTGAGGCCCTAAGAACAAACCTCCACTACCGGAGTAAATCCGGTACAGAATAGTGAGTTGGCTCCTCGACTCAAGTCACCAACTCCCTACCTTCAATCAAGGATACTCTATCAACCGAGGCAGATATTCTCATTCTAGGTCAAAGCAGAAACAACAGGAATTTGATCAGGATTCAAGTCATTCAATCATTAAAACCTCAATCGAATATAATCAATCATAGAATCAGTACTTGGGTTCATACAATCAAAGCCTAACATACAAATCTAGGGTTCTCCATACCCAGATGAATGGGAGAACTACTCCATAGAGAAGAAAGCAAAAGCAGAATCAAACACGGAATTCATACTGCGAAGGATGGATTCCTGCTTCTGGACGTTGATTGGCACTTCTCCAAGCTCAAGCTGGCCTCCAATGGTGTTGAAGATCAATCTAGGGCACTTGGAAACTCTTGCTCGTCACTTTCTCTCTCTAGGAACTGATCTCTCTCTCAAAAACTCGAATCCTTGTGGCTGAAATTCTGCTTAAAAGGAGAAAATCCCGACTCACACGGCCATGCAGCTCACCCAGTTGCCCGTGTGAGTCAAAACGCATCGTTTCATTTAGTTCGGATTCCAGGCTCTTTGCACGGCCAGAATGGCACGACCGTGTGGACATCCCCTATTGCCCGTGTTTGCTCTCGCAGAATGTGGCACGGCCAACCCGGCCACATGCACGGCCGTGTTGATCCTCTGCTCTGCCCGTGTGTGCTCTCGGCAAAACTCGCACGGCCAGGCCATTACTTCACACGGCCGTGTGAACATCAGGGCAGCCCGTGTGACCTCCTTTGTGACTTGTCTCGCGCCCGATCTTCACCCAATCGACCCCGAACTCGCTCCTAAACCTTCATTCACTTGCCAGGACCTGAAATATCACAAACAAGCACAACCTAGCGTGAAATCAGTCTAAAACACGAGAAACCACATCTCAAACGGTGTAAGAACAGGGGTGAAAACATGTGTAACTAACGGTCTATCACTTTTGATTTTCTGTGTTGTCATTTGTATGTGTCTTGCGTCGAATATGGTGTTTCATAGTCAAGTCTGCTATCTTGGGGTTGATTCTAATAGAAACTCGCGTTTGGAAGTCTCTTGAGGTGGTCGTCCATATTTTTTGCCATCTCTGGGTCGCAAGTGACAAAAAGGCAGAAGTCAGGGGCCGAGGAGCCAAGTTAAGGCCTAAGCCATAACTAGGAAGCTTAGCCCTTAACTTCCAGCAGACCCTCTGTTTCTTCCTTGGCTCACATCCCAAGTTAAGGGTTGATCTCTCAACTTACGGCCTATGCTGTAAGTTGGAAAATCAAGCACTAACTTCAGCCATCAGCAACTTCCCGAGTTACGACCCAAGGTAGGGCCATAACTGATACGATCAAGCCATAACTCACGTTGTTTCTATAGAAAGGGTCGTACTCTGGGAGACGGTCGTAACACCTTCCCCTTACACTTTGCTAGAATCCTCTCAACCTGCCAAAAATATGCTAATTATGATGGATTTTTCCCTTTTCTGTCGCCGTCCGACCTCCAATCCCAAATCCGCTTATACCCCCGTGATTCTCGCATTTAGGCAAACCTTCGCCCGAACATTAGGAGATTTTAGCTATCGTTGCCCCTCACTGGAAATTGCCTTTGTCGACCCTCCCCCACCCTCCGACGAATTTTCTTATCGCCAATCCCCCGTATTCTCCACCATCCCCCTTCTCTACCACTTGTGTCTCCAAGTTTATCGCCCTTGACCCTGTTGGAGAATTGGATTATGGGGTGTTTAGTGTATAATTAAGGGTGATATACATTGTTATGTCAACTTAGACAAGGGAATTGATATAGCTTTGTTGTATGCATGTTGGTTCCTTCAAGCTCTTCTTGCACAATCAGTAGTCTTGAGCTTGGAGACCTCTAATTAGGTGACTAGGAGGCAGATGTATGCGCTGATCACCATGCCCAGCGCCCTAGAAGACATCCAACTCGGATCTGGGTTGGCCATCTCATTTACTCGTGTGAAGGGTCACATGAAGTGTCTGCTGATGCACAGAGGCCCTTACATCACTCGCATCGCCGGACACCTCAGAGTCCCCCACCATGTCTTTCGTTGTGTCAACCGCACCAAGGATTTCCTCGAGGAGACCTTGGCTATTATGGGGATGATCCTCGTGGTCAGGGACACCAGGGATTCTTTGGCTTCAGAACCTTCAAACCCCCCCCCCCCCTCCCCCCGACTTGGATCCAGAGGATCTAGAGGAGGGAGCTCATGCTGCAGATCAAGCACATCCACCTCCCTCTTGGGCCCGAGCCCTCCTGCGCTTACCGAGGCACCATGATGTCATTACGGAAGTCTTACGTAGTACTTCTAATTTAATTGTTACATAATTAAGAAACTATCATTCTGGAAGCTTTATGTAATATATATATATATATATGTATTTTGATAATCTCAATTTTACCCTCATTTAGGGAATCTCAAATCATAGCAGAAAAATGAGTTCGGATCAAGTCAGTAGCCAAAATGTTACTGGCATGCATAATTTTTTTCTCCATTAAAGTTAATGTGCTATATCTATTTCATTTTAATTCAAAATTTATTTTTATCAGAAAAATTAGATTAACCACGCTCTAATAGAAGCATATATTACCACTGTATTAGTGTATTACATATCTTGTATGTTATATTGTATGAATGATTCTATTAACGGTAAACAAATAATTTCATAATTTTTAAACATTAAATTATAAACCACCAACAGTTTTGGTTCAGCGTCCTGGTGGAAAAAATATAGGTAAAAACATCTAAAACTACCATTTATAAACCACAAATCAATACCCATGCAATCTACAAAACTATGCCAAGGGCAAAATGACTTGGTAAAGAAAGAAAAGGAAAAAGGAAGTTAAAGGTGAAAGTGACAATCGCCAGTGCATGTGTCCATTAATTTCGTGCTTTTATCTAATCAAGGTTTTAAATTATTTTAATAGTTTAGATTTATACAAGTTATCTAATTTGAAATTAGATTGATAGAAGATTTATCTAAAAGTGTTATCATTCTATGCCTTCTTATTGTTTTTAATTACTAATTTAAATAATGAAATATATAATATTTCTCATGAATGACTAATGAAATATCTTAATACTAAAAAACCATACTCACATAGTCACATTGGTATTGTCGGTGAAACTAATTAGCAAATTTTCTATGTTCAATTATTCTTTCGAAAATGCAACCTCCAGGCGAAAATCAATTACCAACTTTCTCGTTGACCGTTGCTATAATAGAATCATAAGTTGACCTTCTCTATGTAACGTAACAAAGACCAATAATTAGAGCCAACAACTTTGATAGATGATGCCGTTGATCATTATTAAAAGTGAAAAATTGATAGGTGGTTAGCGTCATGCTAACTATCATAGTAATTTTCTGTCAAAAAAAAAAACAAACAAACTATCATAGTAATTTCCCATTTTTATTTATTTATGATTAGACCGAAAATAATTTGTAGTTGGTCAATTCCAGAGAACTTGAAACTCATTTTTATTTATTTATTTATGATTAGCTTCTTTCTACAGCGAGATCATATGAATGCCTTCCTAAAGAATTAATGTTATCGGTACTATGCCTATTCGGGGCAAAACTATAATGGTTGGATCAACAAGTTTTGGCATAAGATTCTTCTAACAATTTGCTAGACACTTCGCAATAGTTTTGTATCCAATATTACAGAGACCAATAAGTCGCATTTGCTTATTTGGCTATCAAGTCGACTATCGCATATTTATTGTGTATGTGTGCAATTTGGCCATAAAGTTGACACATTAATTAATTATTAATAATATATACATAACAGAAGTTTAGTCACTGTTCAACTAAAAAATTAACTTAAAATATAATAATCTCATTAGAATTGAGATTTCATTTGTCACCGCAATTCGACCCATGATTCTTTTGTGTTGTGAGTTATTTATTTATATTTTACTTTAGGAATCATTCAACTGTACTTTAACTTTAAAGTATTGTTGTTTCTAGTAATAATTTAAATTTGTATCATAACGTTAAAAGTACATGTCCAATTTGTACAATAAGTGCGTTTTGTATTTTTATATTATGGTACAAGTTCAGTTTGTTTGTACATTAACTTAAAAGTACAAACCCAGTTTGTACCATATAATATTTGTACAATTAGATAAAAGTACAGTAAACGTACAAGTTCAGTTTGTAACATATAATACCAGTACGTTACGATATTGATATATATGGCATTTTGGATGTCATTTTAACATAACAATATATTTAAAAAATTTCATTAGTAATAAAAGTGAATGTAAAAAAATTTATTGAACCATCAATTCCACCCCTTAAAGCAAGTGTATTAGATGTTTTATACTTGTTAAGTACGTGAAGCATTAAATAAATGGTAAAAAAAGATAGGACACTATAATATTGCAAGATCGAATTTATAAACTCATTTAGTACATTTACGGGGTATTAAGCAAACTTTTACTAACTATGTGTAACAAATATGTGACATCCACATCGCAAAGTGTCAATAAATAGCTACGGTGAAAAGAGTTGACTGTAGTATTGATGGCAAACCAAAGACGTTGTCAAAACCTATCCATCATTTTATTTCTCTTCATTTTTCACTCGCTTTCCATATCGTTTTCTTTATTTCTTTCTTTGCCTTATTCGTCCAACCCTAATTAGTATACTATTTATATGTATCAATTTACAAGTATGAACAGTTCCATACACAACTCACCAACTCTCTATAGAATTAATAATTGAACCATGAACCACTAACTTTTCCAGCTCAATCCAATTAAAAATAAGTTTGGTTACTGTTTACTAACAACATTTGAGAAATTACAGATAAGTATAATTTACATTTCACATTTTGATACTCCAAATTTTGTTTTTAAATTAAAATATCAATGGAAATTATGTTTTGGAACCTAAAATTTATTTATTATGAGATTTTAATACCAACATGTTTTAAAAATTACATAATGGTCCAATGTTTATATGTCACTTGGATCCACGAATCCAACCGCTCAATCCTTTTGAAACAATCCATGAATCCAATCTACCAACCCACGAATCGAATTCATTTGCCACTTCTACTAGCAATTAATATAATATGTGCATCTCAATAAAGATGCCCATTTTTAATTTTACTATATTTAATTTTAAAGTATTGGTGTTTCGAGATACAAATTAAACTTATACCATAACATTAAAGGTACATGTTCAAATTTTACAATAACTAAATTTGTATCTTTAGGTTATGGTATACGTTCAGTTTGTTTATACCATAACAACAAAATATAAATTAAGTTTGTACCGTATAAGATTTTGTATCACTCAATTGTAGGAAAAGATTCGACCACTTTGGTCTTAAAGTAAGTTAAATTAATTATATTACCAAAAGATGGTTGATGTTAGAACGAAACAAGAAATCGACGATGCAATAAATTAAACAACACAAATTTACGTGATTTACTAACACAATATGTGTTTACCTAATTCACGAGCAAGAAAGACTAGTTTCACTATACTTGAACATATACATATTATGTACGGAGAGATGAGAAGTTATAAGTATAACATCTTCTCCATATGGTCTTAACCTTATTCAATCTAGATAGGAAAAGGTTACAACTTAGACCCAAAACAATTAAAACACCTTCAAATCATAGCAACAGTTCAGGTGATAAGGCATGAAGTTGACAGTGACAGAGCCACAATAACCTAAGGGAGGTGGCTACACCACTTGGTCTAACAACAAGGAAAGAAAAAAGTATTAGTCTTGTAGGGAGGAAGAATCAAAATGGAGCCCACGTTTTGTCATAAAGCAATTTTTCCATCAAGCTACAAGCCATTTGATGTTTACTATTTAACATCTCGGTTATTTGTTTAGAGAATCAACAAATTTAAGCATATTTAGTTGAAGAGATTTGAAATTAATTTGGAGGAGAGAAAGATGATGAGTAATCTATTGTTTTTCTTTCATTCTTTATCATTTTTGCATTTCTTTATGTAATTTTTATTATTTTATGTTAGTTGTGCCTTTGGTATATGTTATGCATTGTTTTGTTGAATATTCAATATATATTTTCTATTATCTATGCAAAATGTATTGTTTAAAAAATACAAATAATATGAATATGTCATTGGTCTCGTCAATTCAAATTGCTATGACTGGAGGAAAGAGATGGTTTAAAATAACTTATTGAAATAATTGCTAAAGTGATTGATGTGGTTGTGGGTCTGTATTTGATAATGGTGAAAATTGCATTACTTGTCAGAGACAAATAAAACATGAGTGTGAAAAACCAACCGAGGCGGCGAGGGTTCACAAAAACTAAACCAACCACCAGCACGATGAGGAAAAACGAAAACAAAAGTACAACATGAAAGAAACACAACTAAGTGGCCTGAGCCACTCCTGTTGTGAAGAACAAAAGCAAAACATCACCGAAAGGCACAACACAAAAATCTTTGTTCTCAAGCTAGATGGACCAAGCCATCCCTGTCGAGAAAAGTAGAGAACAAACCAGGAGGCCAAAACCAACAAAGGCCATCACCACAAATCACACACCGAGAAATAGATGGTCAAACACCAACTGAGTAGAAACAGTCAATCCCTTCTTGGCATATCAGCATCCCCAGTAGACACGCTGCATCATGATGTGACACTCTGCAGAAAGGGGAAATATCAGGTCACTAAAACGACAGAAGGCGAGGAGAGGCTCGTCGAGGAACAACGAGAGACAAATCAGGATTCTGCGTACTGGTCCGAATTCTGTTGGTTGTTAACCAATTGACGACCTTCCCACTTAACTGATATTTCCCATCACTACTAGTCATTCTAGCATCGACTTAATAGCCTTTTGGATGAAAACACTTGAATTTAGACGTTTGCTTTAGAAGAAACACCAATTTCTTTTGAGCCAAACATGCCAGTAGATGCCGTGAAAGGCTCAGTAGTTGATCCATCCTTCAATAATCTCTTGGGAATTAGAATTTCATTCTCTAATGGAGGGGAAAAAACATAATATGAGAGTGTATCAACTCTCAAACATATTTCTTTGCTTCTTCTCCAAACATCCTTTCCAAACTCACAATCAATAAAAATGTGGTTACTTGTTTCCTCATCTTTCTCGCATAATCCGCATCTATTGGCAAGATACCAACCCTTCTTCTTGAGATTGTTGAGTGTGTGAATCTTCTTGAGTGAGGTAAGCCATATGAATGTGGAGAGTTTGGTTGAAATGATAAGCCTCCAAACGGAGTCAGCGGGGAGGTTGGAGATTACTAGGAAGATGTCTTTCACAAGAGCCCTGTACATAGAACGGATAGAGAAGGAGTTGTCCATATTAGCATACTTGGCCCTACTTGACCCGCTAGTTACCCTAGGATTAGCATACTTGGCCCTCTAGTTTGTTAAGAAAAATTTATTAAAGAGATTCATTCTCTCTTAGCTCCACCTCTCAAATCGAAATTCAAAGGGATAATCGAGCTAATTTCTTCACCTGTGTAGGTTCTGATGTTTGAAACCTAGGGATTGAAATTAGTTGTTCCATTTTGAATTTACATCACGTATGTTAAATTTTATCTTGAATGTGTATTATTTGGTAAACTCAATCATTATGAAAGTTAGATTTTTTTTATAATTACTATATTAAAAATTTGCAACATTGGCCTTTTCATGTCGACATAATAGTTCTGGTAAATAACCTTCAATAAATAACCTAGCCCAAAATTTCTTCTAAACTTACTAACGTAATTGAGTGTTGTTCGTAGTGATTGCTTCCACCATGATGGGTGTCGCCTCCACGTATAATTGTCATGACGATAGAATGTCGACTAGTTAAACCTAGTATAATCGATGTCAGTCATGAAACTGGTTGGAATACAATTGGTATGACTGGGATGATTGATTTCCAACCTCTAAACAAAATAATGTCATTTTAGTACATTTAATTAGCAAAACATCATTTTGTAATTTATATTATTTGTTGGATTCAAGTATAAGCATTTGGGTATTCGATGTCATTTGTTATTTTGTTTGAAATATTTTATTTTATTTATATATGAATGTACTTTGTATTCAAATATGATTTCATATATGATTATTAAATTCATGAATATTTCTTTAAATATTTTGTTAAATCAAAATAAACCAAATGTATTCGGGTGGAATAATATAAATTTCTCAGGTGATTTAACAATTTTCTCCACCCATTCACTTTCTCCTCTCCTCCCAATCTACTTAAAACTGTCTTCCTTTTGCTCCGCCCAAAAGGAGCGGATCAAAGCAGCCCATAAACTAAAGTCCCAACATTTATATACGATATAGATTATATTCAAATATAATTTACATAATATTATTAAATTCATTTGAAGTTAATGATTTTTTTATTTACATATTTTGTTAAATCGAAATAAACCAATTTTATCTGCAAATTTTAATCGATAATCGTCAAGTAGCTCACGAAAGGAACAATATCCTTAAAATTTCTTGTACAACCAGTTGACGCCTTTGTTTTCTTGTTTCTGCTTGACTATTTACATGAACAACAACATTCTCAAATCTAGAATAATGTTGCCACTCTATATGTGGAGGTACCACTCTCGATAAACCACTCTTGTTGGCACCAACTCCTCCCTCCTTATTGACTTGAATTGATTGATATTTGCTCATATGGTGCACTTAGTAGCTTTACATGTATTTTCATCTAGTTGACGCCTTTTTTGGATATTGTTTTGGATGTATTGAGGCCATGACATCCTAGTGGATAACCTTGTACAACCCATACATATCATGACTCGTCGACTGGAAGTTGGAAATAGAACTTTGGAGTCCAACCCTAAATGGCGACTATAATTTTCTACTTAAACCCAAAAATTTTACATATGCACATTTTCCATAGCATGATTTCTGATTCTAACTGATAGCATATTCTTTCCTTTAGCACCAACCAAGAGATTTTCTTAAGATATACGATCGTGAGAGGTTTTCTCCTCTTGGGATGAGAAGGTCTATAAATAGACCTCATTGGACGTCATTTTGGACACAAGATATAGCTTTGTACATTACAGTCCTTCATTTGTCATAAACTCATTTGAAACTTCTCCACTTTTCTAAAACAAACAAATTCATCATGAGTATCTCAGATAGCTCATAGTCAGGAGGAGACAAAGAAATCATAGAGTATGGAATAAATCACCACCTACGTTTGAGTTTAATTGTCGGAGGTTGTATGAAGGTTCATCAAGTTGACGTCAAACTACAAGTTGAAATCACATTGATCGTGAAAGGATCGAATGTAACTGACGTCCTATGAGGATTACTTTGATCCAAATCCCGTATACAATGCTCGCATATTCAAAAGGTACTATTGGATGCAACCAAGGTTATTCCATTACATTATGGGTGACATTGTGAGGTTTGGCCCCTCATTTATGCAAGGCATATGATGGCCTTGGTCAAGTATCACTATCTCCCTATCATAAGCTTATTGATGTGGTGCGCATGTTAGCATATGGTTCTCCCGTTAATAAACTTGATGAGTATGTTCGTATGGGAGAGAGCGCATTAATGGACGTCTTCATAAAGTTTTGCAATACTATTATCAACACGTACATGACCATATACATTTGTGGACCAACTTTTGCCGATTTAAGGATTTTACTTCATAAAGCCTCAGGTCCTGGTTTTCTTGTGATCATTTGATCAATTGACTACATTAATTGGAAATGGAGGAACTATCTAAGTGGTTGGGCATGACAATATATTGGCCACATGCATAGGCCAACAATCATTCTTGGGGAGGTAGGCTCATACAACACATGGATATGACATGCTTTCTTTTGGTCACCTAGATTGAACAACGATATAAACGTTTTATGGATGTCTCCGATATTTGATCGTATCATTAATGAAACTGCTCGACATGCATGCTTTGAGGTAAATGGGAATACGTACGATCAATGTTATTATTTGGTTGAGTATTTATCCCTCATGGTCAAATTTAGTGTAAACCTCCAGCAATCCCAGGTTAAACAAAGAGGCTTTGTTTGCTCAACGTAAAAAAGCACACCGCAAAAATGAAGAGAGGGCATTCGAAATCCTCCAAACAAGTTGGGCAATTGTTTGTAGCCCTTCAAGAGTTTGGGATGTTGCCACACTTAATAATATAATATTGACATGCATTATATTACCCAACATGATAATCGAGAAAGAACACATTGATTCTAATAATAAGGTAGAAGGTAACCTTGATTATGAGGTCCTTGAACAACCTCAATCAGTCAACCGACACATTCCAACTTTTATTGATAACTTGCCTAGAAATAACAAGATTAGCTCTTAAAAACACATCATGGGCTCCGAAATGACTTGGTTGATCATCTTTGGAATTTGCATGATAATAACTAGTCTTGTTTAATGGTAAATTGTATGTCATGTTTCAATATTAATTTTATTTCATATTGCTTGTTAGTTTGTATTTCAAGTTTTGATATGTGATTTTATTTCATATTTCAATAAAACTTGTCATATAGTTAGTCAACATGTTTCAATAACACTAGTTTTTATTACACATGAAAATAACAAAGTTCAAAGAGTACACATAGCACTTGAAAACAATAAAGTTCAAAGCCAACACACAACGCATGAAAATAGTAAAGACAATAGAGTACACATAAGACGTTCTTCTGTCAATAATCCATAACAGGATAATAATCACCTCCTTCTCCTCCGCCACTTTCATCTCCATCTCCGACATCACTTGGATTAGGGTTGTGATCATCTTGATAGTACCTCAAGATTTCATTTTGTTTACTTCTCCAAAACTTCTTCTTTCGTGGTGTTAGCCTTGATAGATCCTTCTCCAGAATAGCCATTTTTTATGAAGTATTACGACCTCCCTCTCTTTCTTCTCAATAGCCCACTTTTCTACTTCATGCTTCCTCACTTGCCTCTTGTACGCCCATTCCTCTTTCTCATGCTCTAATCTCATCTCTTGAACATCCATTCGTTTCCATTCATACTCTATCTTCGACTTTTGCCTCTCTCTCATATCATTACCAAACTCTAGAAGTTGAGAAGTGTGAATGTCTAACGACTCAGCAACTATCTTACCTTTCTTCTTTGCTGCCTTTTGTTTGTCGCGTCCTTCAGAGAAAGATAACACGAAAGTTGTAGCTCCTTCATCTAGTAAGTTATCAAGGCCTTCCACCTGATAGGATTGAGAACAAACACCTGTGGGAGAACTTTGGAAACCTTGCTCTATAGGTGAAATCATACCAACAACTATTTGAGGATCACAATGTAGTTGTCAATTATATAGCGTCAATAAACAATAGCTTACCTATAGGTGAGCACATTATAGAAGCTCCCCGTCTGACTTTGAATTACTAGTTATATTACAACTTCATTGATGCTCAAACTCCTCGTCTTATTAACGATTCAACGTTGGAGTACCGTTTAGCATTCTGTTTTGCAAATAAATAAAACAAACTTGATAACTCTCCAACTGAATCAAACCAATTAGCCCGTTAGTCATCCGGTCAACACAAATGCTTCCCTACAAATCTAAGTTGGACTATCCAACAACATATGTGGTGATATCTTCGATAAATGACAAGAGTTACCTTGACCCCTGCTCCCCTCTCACGGTCTCGCCATGGAAGGAAGCTTTGAGTGTGTCTCTTGTGATATAAAAATAGCAAACAAAACACAAATAGCAAGCAACCCAGGAAATAAAATATAGCCGCCGCAGGACCATTTACAGATGTAAACACAGAAACCATTACCCGCCGGCGCCAATCAAACTCTTCTCCCTCCCATTAACCTAAATTGGTCCACAATCCCAATCCCGATCCCCCTTCTCAGTTCTTTCCCTTTCTTTCTTTATTCCCCTGTTTCCTCTATTGATATTTCCTTCTTCGGTCCCCCACCATAAATCATCAATTCATCATCATAATCTAATTATCCCTTTTTTGTTTCGTCTTCTCTCCTCTCCGCTGAATCATCCCCCAGACTTGTGATTTCTTTCCTTCTTCTCCGATGGGTCGCTTGACGAATCTCAGAGACCTAGTGGGCGCGATCAAGGACAAAGCTTCTCAGAGCAAAGCAGCTGCGATTAATAACTCTCTCCATTTATCTCTTCTGCGGGCTACGACCCACGACCCCTTCACCCTTCCCAACCCGAAACACATCGCCACTCTCCTCTCCTATGGCCACGGCTCACGCGCCACCGCCTCCGCCGCCATCGAAGCCCTCGTGGACCGCCTCCAGCACACCCACGACTCCTCCGTCGCCGTCAAGTGCCTCCTCATCGTCCACCAAATCGTCAAGCAGGGCAGCTTCATCCTCCAGGATCAGTTGTCCGTCTACCCTTCCTCCGGCGGCCGGAATTATCTCAAGCTCTCTAATTTCAGAGATAACTCCTCCCCTGTTTCCTGGGAGCTCTCCTGCTGGGTTCGATGGTAAGTCGAAAGGGGGAAAAAGCATCAATTTTCAATTCTCCGTCTCCGAAAATCAATTCTGAATCTGAATTGCGAATTTATTCGCAGGTATGCGCGGTATTTAGAACAATTGCTGTACGCGTCGAGGGTACTGGGATTCTTCCTCTGCTCAACCACCAGCACGGCGGAGAAAGACAGAGCAGAAGAGAAAGTGTCGGCGATGGTGACTTCCGATTTGGTGAAGGAGATGGACTCGCTGGTTGGGCTGATGGAGGAGGCCGGGAGGAAACCGGAATCCCTGCATCTGAAAGGAAATTCGATAATTTGCGAGATCCTGAATCTCGTAGGGGCGGATTTCCTGTCGGCGATTAACGATGTATCGGTCCGAGTCAACGAGTTCAAGCACAGGGTGAGTTGCCTGAGTTTCGGGGAATCGGTGGAGCTGGTCTGCGTGTTGAAGCGACTGGAAGGGTGTAGAGAAAAGATGGGGGAATTGTCGCCGACGAGGAAGAGAGTTTTGATCGACGGGATGTGGGTTGCGGTGAGGGAGGTTTTGGATAAGAGTACAGAGGCTTGTAGAGGGGAGAAAGAAGGGAGGCTTTTGCTGACGTGGGGAGGACGAAGAGAGCAGGGGACTGAGTCGGCTCGATTCGGGGGACGAGTTTTGAGTTGCAGTGACTCGTTTCGGGCTTCGTCGGCCCGGTTTGGGTCCAGTAGGTATATCTAGTTGGGCCGTTCTTTACTTGCTGAGTTGCTGTGCATATACTTTTGGTTTTTTTTTTTTTTTTTTTTTTACGTTTGGTTTTCCCCTTTCGTTTTGGGTAATTAAAAGGGAGAAAGAGGAAAATTTAGTCAAAATTGGCAGTTAATTACAAGAGTCAAATAGGTTGATCTTTTTTCTTTTATGGGAGTTGACATGAATTGTGAGTTATGGTGCTTGATTGTGATTTTTTTTCTTCAAGTTGGGGTTGATTATTCAAATACAAGTAGAGTGTTTTATTTTCTTTCATTTTTCCTCATGGTGGTTGTACAATATTGATTTTTGTGCATATATAAGTTTCATAGTTTGAAGTTCCTTCTAGGACATATCACTGAGTGAGTTATTGTGTAATAAGCCAAAAAATTGTGCTAAACTTAATACCATAACCTACACTTAAAAAAATGCATATTTTCCCCACTTATGTATAACTGCTTTAAGGAGAATTAAAACCACCATTCAAAACTGAGAGAGGTTATAGATGACAAAACTAACCAACTACACTCTACCTGCATATGACAATGACTTCCACAAAGAAAATGAGCACCACACAGTGGATTGCTACCAACTGAAGGTGAAGATACCAGGCTTGATAGACTGAGGAATGCTAATTTATTTCGTTAAAATAATTGAAGATAAGACGCACAAAGCATACACATCACAAGAAATAGGGAAGACACATCTTGAGGACAATGCGCCCAAGAGGGATCTCATGAATATTCCCCATCCACCCTTTTAAGTTGTCCTAGAGGAAAATCGTAAACAACTAAGGATGACCATAGAGGTCATCACAAGGGCGATCGAATTAAGGGAAATTTTGGAAGAAGGGCGTAGGTTGAGAGCCACAACTTTACGTGCTAGGGCAACTGTCCAAGTTATACCTTTAATCATATCTCGGTGGAAACATACCCTCAACGGGGGTGTTTGAAATTCAATATGCGGTAGTCGGGTGCAGAGTAAAAAAAAATGTACATGGACATAGGGACTTCTACGGAGGCGCTCTTCAAAGATACCTTCGTACAGATGCTGCTGGCGCTCGACATCGTACGACTAGGAGACTTGGTCCTAATGAAATTTTGGGAGTTCCCGATAGGGTGGTGGGCACGTGCGCCTTCCAATGACATTGAAAGACGAGGACCATAAGGTGAGGCATAATATTGACTTTGAACTTATGGACTGCCTGTCACCTTACAATGCCAAACTAGGGAGACCCCTACTGACCATGTTCAAGGAGGTTGCTTACACATGTCATCATGCACTTATGTTTATTACCACCACAAGGTATTAGGATATCAAGAGGAGGGAGTCGGTGGGTGGTGATCTGATGATCGAGAATGCCCTTCCAGTCAAGAAATACAAGACATATACTATAGATGTTTGACTGGACGATACCGCGAGGGCGGAAGCCGCATATGCTGAAATGGTGGTGCCCAAGAGATGGAGTAAGTATCTCAGCACACACGTCGACGTATTGGCTTGGTTGATACAATTTATTTTGGAGTTTGGTAAATTATTCGCGTGGAGTCTTCAGGAGATGAGAGGAGTACGACCATAAGTAGCAACGCACTGCCTAGCTATACGAAAAGGAAGGAAACCTTCCAACATAATAGAAGAAACCTATCTATTCAAAAGGAAAAGTCACTGCGGTGGACAAGCTTTTAGAGTTTTAATTTATTGAGAAAGTGAGTTACATATCTAACAAGGCTCTCAGACGTAGTATTTTTCCCAAGGCATCAGGGGATTGAGGATGTGTGTGGAATTCACAGACTTTAATAAAGAGTTCCCCATGGACGTGTACCCAATGCTTCGTATAGTTTAATGGGTGAATTGGACAACATACCACGAGGCGCTCACCTTCTTGGACATGTTTTTAGGATATCATTATATACCTATGCCGGAGAGAGATAGAGAGAAAATGATGTTCATTGCTCCTTTCGGAAACTTTTGCTATCAAGTAGTGACATTTGGCCTAATGACGCAGGGGCGACATACCATTGCATGGTAAAAACAGTATTAAAAAAGTAGATAGGGCGATACCGCGAGTTGTGCGTTGATGACTTGATCATCAAAAGCAAAGGGTGTGGAGATTGCATGCAATACTTGTGGTATATGTTCGAGACGATGCAATTCTTCAAGTTGCAACTAAATCAACTTAGTGTGATTTCGGTCCGAAAATAGAAAAATTTATAGGTCTTATGATTACAAAGAGAGGAATAGAGGCCAACCCAAAGCAAGTGGAAGTCGTCATGAGCCTTAAACCACCTAGAACGCCTAAGGAAGTACAAGGATTGACAGGACGCATAGTTAAATTATGGAAGTTTATACCTTAGTTAGCAGATAAGGGTGCCATATTTTTTAAGGGTTTGAAAAAAGCATCACACTTCATAAGTACGAAAGACTGTGATGTAGTATTTGGGCATTTAAAGAGTTTATCGACGGAGCCCACTGGTATGACGGTCCTCAAGGCAAACATAGTGGTGTACCTAGATATAGCTATCTCCCACACAGTTGTGAGTGTTGTATTGATATCCAGGAATGAGAAGACAAATGATGAGCGCCCAATTTACTACGTAAGCAGGACAATGGTGGGGCACGAAATGAGTGACGTGTCTATTAACAAGGCTACCTTGGCAATAGTCAATGCTCCAACTAAGTTGTGCCTTTAATTTCAGGCGCAACCGATCGTGGTGCTCACTAACCTACCATTGAAAGGAACGTGGGTTGAAGAACGTGGCAGGCCACCTTGTGAAGTGGGATGTCCAGCTGAGAAAATATGACACTCGGTATGCTCCACGACCTCCAGTCAAGGCGTATGTATTGATGGGTTTCACATTCGAAGGAGTAACTGATCCAGGGGAGGCAGCCAAAGAATGTTAGCAAATGGCAAGTCACTGTCGACGGGGTAGCAAACCGTGTAGGTGTCAACGATGACATTGTGATCATTCGTCCATTAGGCGCCAAGCATAAAGTGGCACTATGGTTTTCAACCTTGAAGATAAACAACGTTGCCGAATGGCACGAGAGCAGGGGGTGCAGAAGATCGCCGTAAGTATAGATTCGGTTCTGGTGGTTAACTAGTTGCATGGCGTATATGATGTCAAGGAGGAATCCTTAGAGGCGTGCATGGAGAGTGTCAAACATAAGAGCGCGTGGTTTTGTGATGTAACCTTCATGCACATTCCAAGGAAAGAGGATGTGGGTGCTGGTGCTTTGACCTAGTTAGCCACTTTCGTTGATTTTATCGCGGACATGCAACTCATTGTAACAAAGGAGGTATCAAACTAACTTAATGTTTTGTGATAACATCTGAAAACAAAACGGTCATTCTAGTGTAACTGTGCATCCCAAATTTTAGGGTGGCGCACTTCCAAGATTCCACAAACACGAAAGTTTGCGTTGTCGAATTGGATTTGTTGGATGAACGTCGAGACATGGCATCCATATATCTCGAAGAAACAAAGAGACAGGTGACAAGGTACTACAATTAAAATATGCAATATCCCCACAAAATTGTCGGAGGCAGTCTCTTGATGAGTATGGATTTTCGCCCAAATCCCAAGGAGGATAGACTCGCTCCAAATGAAAAGTCTAATACAAGCTTATTCAAGGCCATTAATAGTACTGCTGCATTAGCAAAGAGATAATGTATTATGAGTTATGACGTGATCGATTTCTTTTATTAAGATATGAAATCATCGTGTTAACATGATATACAACATTTTCCTTTTGGGATAACAAAATTCTAATAATCAACCCCTAATTTGCATTTGGTAATTGAATATTGGAGCTAATAATCCATATTGCCATTGCCATGACTTGCCAAAGAAAACGCCATTAATTAGTCCAACATCGATCCGTTTTCATCATCATCATCATCTTCCTTTTCCAGCCATGTCTGCTGGTTCAAACACTTCTTTCTCATTGGACTTCTGACCACTTGGTTACGTGTAATCTTGCTTTCTCTGCCTGCAGAAATCGAATTTAAATCCCACCCACAAACATATATCAATCACAGTATAATATCTTATAAATTCACTTTAGAATCATGCAATTCTAAATTGGAGATATGTCTAGTTCTATGTACCTCTTTATCCCAATCGCATCGGATGGTTATGATGGCCAATATCAGTGTCTGGAACGCTGTTCCTCCAAATATCATTCCAGCCCAGATTCCCTGCACCAGTTTTTTGTTTGTTTCATTACCCTCAGATTCTTTCCACTATGAAAAGGAAAGAAAAGTGCAGTTTGGTGGTTGGGTTTGGGCTTACCTTGACTCCCAGGTCGAAGCCCCAGCCCATCAAAAACCCTAGAGGGACTCCAACGAGATAGTAGCAGCCCAAGTTTATGTAGGCCACATACTTCTGCCATCCCGACCCTACAGCCACTCCTGCAAAGCTTAAACATAAGATTTCAGCATGGAGTTCCAAATTTAGTGGTTGAAGATGTAGATTATAATATGACCCAAGAGAAACAAAACCTGAGAGAATTGGCTGCACGCTGTTGAGAAGCACGGTAAAAGCCAAGAGGATGGACAGCTGGTTGACCGCATCGAGAACCGGTTTACTGTTGGTGAAAATCCACCCGTATTTGTCGTCGTAGATGATGATCAGCAGCCAGAAGAATAAGCCGATTATGACCGATTGCACCACCGAGACCAGGGTGGCGAACCGGGCTCCCTTCCCGTTCCCAGCTCCAAGCTCATTGGCAACCCTCACTCTGCATTAATTAATTAACCTCGGTGTGATTAATTCAGAGAACTTAACATTAAATCATTCTTTTTTAAGATTACTTTCTTTCCCGACAAATTTGTAAGTGTACTACGTGGGACGAGGTGATGTTGTCGGGGTTGGGCCGCCAGAACAGTCCTAATTTATGTATGTGTACGTGTTGATTGAATGGTTAGGTGGTTGGAATTTATGATCCAAGTCCAGGGTAGGAAAGAAATCAAACTCTAAATAATCATAAAACGACAACTCAAATAAAAGACGTAAACACATAGAAAGCCACACAACATTATTAACCCAGCCTAATTTGTGGGGCTTGCAAATGTGTCATTAGCGTTTCATGAATTGACAAAACCATATAGAGGGGCGCTAGTCGTCACCATCACAATTGCAAAACTCAACTTGCTCTTGTTTATTCAATTTGGCAATCTTCAAAAGGAAAAGAGAATGTTCGAACAGAGACATAGTGGCAGGTAGTATACCAAGGGTTTGAAAGTTTGAACTCATCTTCATATTTGATAAACAAATTTGGGAAGTGATGCGGTAGGAGACTTCTTAGCTTCACTCCACCATGATAAATTTAGTTTCAATCAGTGAAAGCTACTGTGAATCATTTTTACTAGTTTCTACTTCATTCTTGTTTTGAAGTAACTGACACGGTGTTGTACATCAATTTACGTCAACATCAATTGATAGATTGTCTATATCTACTTTAAGCCAGATTGGCATATTCAATTCAAGTATTAGATTGTTCTGTATAGCAAAGTATAAGAAAAACAATTAAACTCAGCCACAAAATTTCTCTCGTGACGCTAAAGCAAAAGCAAGTTCTTCGTGAGATTGCTCTCTCGAGCTATAAAGCCAAAATGTATTTTGGTAGCCATTGACTTATGACCACACTAGGTGCCAATTTAGACCTAAGCACTTTTTCAAATCATTAAAAGAAAATGCGTGCACTAATCTGCATTAAACATTGTTATAAATTAAATATTTTTTTTTTTTGGGTTGGTGTCTGAATCTGAATGCAAGCGACAAGCTAAGCTAGGGGATAGATATATAGCTGTATTCGTGTATGCATATCACAGTCACAACTTGACGTGAAACGACAACGTAGAACACATATATATACTGTATATATAGGTCGCATCAGCAAGCAATTGGATCCAGTCCTGACGACCTTTTAACTTGTTTCTACTCTGTTCTCTTGTCGCCAAAAGTCCCTTAATTTATGACTAAGGACCCTCACATGCATCTTGAACAAGAAAAATGGTAACTAAAATCCAATGCTGTGACAGTTAAATACTGATTTTCATTTTAGCCGCTAGCTAAGTATAAGACGGTCACAGTTGCCGTAACCAATTTGAAAACCCATTTTGTTGATTGGCTTACAACTCAATCAGATGTCAGGTCTTAAACAGTAACCATAGCTTTTTTTAGGTGGGTGCGGGTCTACCATGTACCACACATGTAAGAATCCAATTGTGGTGAAAGAAAGGCCAAATGGAAACAAGTTAAGAAAAAAAAGGACCAAAACAAGATGGATCAATCGAAGTGAAGAAGAAGAAGAAATGGACGTACCCAGTTCCTGCGAAGAAAGCAAACGGAATCATCATCTCCCACCCGTTTATGGTCATGCTGCCATTACAATGTCACTGTCATCAGTCCCACAAAAAAAAAAACTTAACACGAATCTAGCAAGCAGTATATATGTACGCAGTAGAATAGACTAGCCGAATCGCCTCCTCCATCCACACAAACTAATATTATAATTATCCTGTAGCTGTCGTATATATGTACAGTGAACAAAATCAAATTAGCTAGCTAGCAAGTAGTATGCATTGTTTTTGGGTTTTTTGGCCACATACCAAATGGACAAAGCATCCACCGCGATCTCTGCATTCTTGAGATTCCCGGTCATCAAGATCAGTATTCTGTAGTACCAATTCTCCAGGCTGCATCAATCAAATCCAAATCACACACATCGAACGTTGTACGATTTTTCGTGACGACGAATTAGTTAACGAAATGTGTACCAGAGCATGACCCCCGAGGCAGCGGAGAGCTGAGCGAAGTCCCAGAGCCCGGAGAACGCCTCCATGGAGAACCCGGTCCAAGTGAGCGGGCACCCGCCCCAAACCGCGTACCCGAAGCATCCCACGGCCCAAACCCACCACGAGAAGTTGAGCGTCATGGCGGTTCCGACCACGCCGAGCTGGAGCTGGTAGACGAGCAGCCAGCTGACGAAGACGTGGACGACCAGCGCCAGCAGGGCCATCCACGCGATCACCATGTTCTTGAGCTGGCTCTGGAGGAACCGCTGGAGCGGGAACTGGAACGCGAAGCTGAAGTGGAGCGGGATCATGCACATGGCCGCCACCCCGGACACCTCCGCCACGTCGTCCGGCTGTCCCACCAGCTTCAGGAACGGCGTCGCAAAGAGGTAGAGCGGCAGGAGAAAGAGGCAGCAGATGAAGAGGACGATCCACGACCGCTGCATGTACACTCCCATCATGTAGTACTTCTTGGCGCCGTAGGCCTGGCCGCAGAGCGTCTCGAGCGCGCTGGCCATGCCGAGCTGATGATAGGGAGAAGAAAAAAAGAAAAAAATCCTACAATAAGATAAGTCTTAATTTGACATATAGCTTTCGATGCTGGTGGTTAATTAATTTACCAGGAGGCCGAAGTCGAAGCCGACGATGACGTTGTTGGCGATGGAGATGCCGGCGAGCTCGAGGTCTCCGAGGTGGCCGGCGAAGGCCTGGGTGATGACGAGCATGGAGTAAGAAGCGAGGCGGCTGAAGATGGCGGGGCCCACTATATGCCATAGCTTCTTCGTCTCCGTCCATACCTTGGTCACGATGTCGTCAGCAGCGTCGTGGGGGACGTTTTTGTCCTTGACGAGGGCGGCGGCTGTTTTGTGGATAAGGGCGTCGTCGTTTCGTTGGAGCAAGGGGAGCTTTGCTTCCTCCTCCATGGCCGTATTATTAGTTCCACCGTTGGAACTCGGCCGCATGGCTTTCTTTTTTTCTGGCTGCTGTTCGGCTGTATATGAAAGGTGTAGGGGGAGAGAGGGGGTGGCTTTTTTATGTTTGTGTTTGAAATTAATGGAAGTGGGCAGCAAGAAAGAAATAGGAATAGGAAATATAAGTGGAGGGCGGCCAATTCTTGGAGGGCAAGGTGGGGGGAAAAAAATGGGTCACGGCTCTTAGCAAAAGAACAAGGAGCAGAGGACAAAAAGCTCAAGCTCATCTAGCAGCTGCTACCGCAGTCCTATCCTTCCAGGAAAGGAGGGTGCATGGATCCAGAAAAATCGATCACACTTTGGCTGTTGATTGAAGGTTAGGGGTAATGATGAACACCGGATGATTGCTATGGTATGTATGTAAATGCACTTCAGCCATTCAATTTAATGAATATATAGGAGTCTTATTAGTAATGGAACGGATGTATGTTCTTTGTTTTGTATTGTTCGATTGTCTACCACAGATTTTTAACCGTTATGTTAAGATGTTAGTAGTAATTGAAGTTTATACGTCAATTAATGGGAGTTGAGTATTCGAATAAAATATTGATTTCTAGTAAAAAATGTCTATGTGTTAATATAACGATTGCGATTGAGAGAACGTGTAGAATGGATGGCCATGATGATGTTAAGAAGAACATTACTCTTTACTCCCATCTTGATGAACAAGTTGATGCAACAATATCGACAAATCTGATCTCAGGTTGAGGATGTGGGTTTCTTGATTTTGGGAATCATTGGAGGGGTTGGGTGGGTAGAATTTTGTGCATATATATATGGACGAGATGGAGTGATGAAACAAGAAAAGGTGAGAGCAGCCATAAATATATTAACTTCGTCGAGTAGTGACTGCTGCTAGTGCTATTGGCCAGCAGCTGCTCAAAACTGTGCCACCCACACCTCTGTCGCCTGCGCCACTTTTTATGGTTTGTACTTTCTTTGTAGCAATGCATGGTCATCGATTCTTGTCTGCAATTATTGGATAGTTGCTAATACTATATTGCGCCCGTAATTCGCTCGTGACATTAGTTAACTTTTATGGTTTCTAATAGAAGTAATTAGTTGTTTTGACATAAAGAATTGGTTAATTATTGTTGTGATTAGAACTTATTCATATCCTTTATTTGTAGCACCGATGGAAGGGATCCACATTGGATGAGTTGGGGCATATATTTTATTCTTAAAATCCTAACGAGTTGGTATAATTGTGACTGACCATCCATTTCAATTTATTTTTATGGTACAAATTAGTGTGGTTGGGTTGCGGGTTGATCCGCAAAAGGGATTGGTGACACATGAAATATACTATTCTAGACCCCCAAATTATCATCGAAAGTGAATTGATTTCCTATCTTTATTGTCATGTTACTTTGAATTTACTTTGTGAATGCTTAAAGTGAGTTTAGGACTACTTTTGTTATCAAGTTAAGCTTTTGGTACCATTCTGTGCATTGTCAGGTCAAAGCAGGCCAATGGACCAATTAAGAGTTTGAGTGACGTCAAAGGCCAGCTACTGGAGTAGGAATCGAAAAAAGTACTTGGGCCCATAAAACGGCGCCTTAATCGGCGGCCCAAGTTGAGAATCAACACCGTGGCCGCCGATTTCAGGAAGTGACTACTTTGTCAAGAAGGTGTCCAAAAATTATCCTGAATTAGTAGCTGCATGCAAAGGACTCTTCTGATTGGATGAATGAACCGTCAACATTATGTTTCTCTCCCAGAAAATCCTAATCCAAGGCCAATATAAAGGTCTTTAGGGTTTAGGAATCGACAGCCATTGATAGGCGGCATTAGAGGTCGTTACACTGCCCGACATGGTAACTCTCCCGCCTTAGAGCAATACCGATTATCATGAGGTATTGGCACCCTCAGACCCAATTTCTCAGTTCTAACCACCGATTCTAGTGGTATGAGCTTCGTTTCAATTGATGACTCCTCAAAAACTCGTCTCCATGGCTGACTAGTTCTCTTAGTTGCATAGGTTGGGGAACTCTAGAGGTTCTTTGACGATGTAACGGCTGATGTTTGGTTTATATATGATGATTTAACTTCTTTCATCTTTATACTTGATCTCTATCTTTGGTTTGTTGTCAATTTGACTGTATGTTTAAGACGAGGACTATCTTCAAATGATATATCCTCCCATCCGACTTTGTGGATGTATGAGACTAGAAACGAAAGTCTTTCCATGGCGATCATCAATTGATTGAACTGCGTGACTACCTCAAAGCAAAATTATGCAGGGTCCATGTTGCTTATTGGTTTGCAAGGACAGCACACACTAAAGCAAGATCAAACCTAGCAAAAATAAGAAGGTCATATGTCGCTAGAATCAATCATTAATTTTTTTTGCATCATATGTAAGCGTATTTCCTTGAGTTCTCCTTATTATATGATAGAACTATTAATCTCATATCTCATATCTCATAACAAAACAAACTTTCTTATCGGTTGTTCAAACTCTGGCAGAATATCGTCATTCTCCTTTATGAACACTTATAAATAAATGTTCTAATTTGTATCTACAAATTTTTGTTTGGGAATATATGAAAAATAAAAAATGGTGGATGGTTTCCTTTATTTGAGTGTCATGGCCAGCTAGTGGTTCGTCGTGAGTCAATTTATGTGGAGCAATTCCTTCTCCTTGGACAGACTTTGGGAACTTTATGGATTGACTCTATAGTTTAATAATGGGATTATTACAATTCGAGACATATATCCACCGCAACTGGTCACAATCTGAGATGTTTGCACCCTCATTTCTTGATCATTTTTATCGAGTTTGCGCTTTCTTAGCCTATTTTACGCTAGGTTGTGTTCTTTTGTCATATTTCAGGTCCTAGCACGTAAAGTGAAGTATAAGCACAAGTTTCATGTCAATCGGAGATCAATTGGCGATTCGGGAGAAGAAGCTCAAGCATGACCTGAAGAATTAAGGATTTCGACCTGATTTAATGGGAAAATAATCATGTAATCTTGTCATGAAAAGAAAGAGGAAGAGAATACGAGTGTCTGAGATCAAACGGTGACTGATTCAGAGTCCGGACGATGGAGAAACGAAGCATCAAAGACAGTGGAACAAGAGCTGAAGAAGAAACACGAGAAGGAGAAACACGACCGTGTTTTTCCCTCATATCCCCGTGCTTTTAGTGCCGAGAAAAAACACGTGAAGGGCTGAAACACGGGCTGAGAAGGACGACCGTGTTCTTGCCCGCTGCTCGGGTATAAGTCTATTTTCTGCGATTTTTGGAGGGAGAGAGCTGGGTTTTGGATTCCAAACACCAAAGGGACGAACCCTAGAGAGAGCAACTTGGGATCATTCTGGGAGCTATTTTGGAGGATTTCTTCATCATTGGAGCTCGGGAATCAAGCTTGGAGATGGAGATTGAAGATCTAGATCAGATTTATGCATTCTCTCTCTTTTCTATGGAGTAACTTCCCTTCATTTAGGTTATTAGGAAAGGCAGAAGTTTTTTTACTTTAGCGTTTTTCTATTCTTTTCCACCCTTGATTTTCACTTGGGTGTTTTGTTTTTGTTGGTGCAGATTTGGAACATGGATCCTCATGGCTTCTCCAACCATTGGGGGTATCCACCACCACTCGAGTGGTATTACCTCGAGACTTCCTGGAGCAATCAAGGAGGAGAAGACTATGGATTCGGATTTCAGTACCAATCCCCCAACTATGGAGAACAACCAGACCCTTGGGCACCTCAAGAACAATCTCCTTATCAAGAAGAATTCCTCCCACAACAAGAGGGGCCATCTGAGTTGGAGTTAGCCATGGCAGTCCTCACGGGCCATTCTGCAGAGCTGTGTTATACTCCATGGCCAGAGTCGAAGAGTAAATTGGATCTTTTCATGGAGCAGTGTGCTCGGGACGCTGAAAGATCATTCTCCAAGTTGGATCCTCATATCAGGCCATTTCCCAAAATGAATTCTCCTTTCCGCGTGAAACGGAGGAGACCCTCCTGAGCATAGAGAAGCACATAGAGGTCATTGAGAAAGCTTGTGCACAGTTTGCTCTAGACAGCCTTTATGCTACCATACAAGTAGAGAAGGAGGAAGAAGAAGCCAATCATGAAGATGTTGAGGAGCATACAGAAGTTTTCGTGGAGAACTCCCATGATATTCATGATCAGGAATGTCCTTTGGTGGTAGATTATCTCATTGAAGAAATTGCTTGGTGACTTGCTCTCCAATTTGTGCTGGAAGAAGAAGAGCGATAAATGGTGAGGGAAGAAGTTGTGAAGGATGAAGGAAGTGAAGTAGAAGGAGTTCTTGAACTTTTCCAAGGGGAGATGCCACATTTTTAAGAAGGAAGGGGGCTTGAAAAAGCAATTGGCATCCAGGCTGAGGAAGAAGTTGAGGTGGAAGAGGCTTGCACCGGCCATGAGTTACATGTGATATCTCCATCAAACTTCCTAGGCGTGCTTGGCAAGGACCCTTTTGCACTGTCTCTTTGCCATACCAAGGCTACGTCGGCATCGGTCCCTCTTGGTGGACACAATGGTGGTCAATCGATGTTGTTATATCTGGTTTGGGGTAATAAGACCAGAGAAGAAGCGAATGAGAGGTCTCGAGTGTGGAGACTTCAACTTACTCAAGGGCACGAGCCATCTTCATCACCTACCATACCACCTGCTCGTGACTTGAGACTCCACCTCATCAACGAGAACCTTGACTTCAAGGAGGTTTTGGGGTGGACCAAAACTTAAGAGCCACCGTCCAGCTAACGACATGAAAGAAGCGCTTGTTGGGAGGCAACCCAACCAGTCGGTTTGCATTTCTTTCCCTATTTCTCTTTGGTTGAGTCAGTGTTGTGCTTTGATTTTCGAGTCAATAACTCAACTTTTGTGAGATTTTGTGTGGTCTTTGTGGTTCCACCTACTCTTTCTTCCATGTAAGGCACCTCCTGTTCCATCCACCATCGTTCATCACTCAATCCGGTAACATCGTTTCCCTTATCCTTCACTCTTCTCCATTGTGGACAATATCGATCTTATGTGTGGAGGTGTTTATCGATGTTTATCTTTGACTGAATAGATGTGTTTGTGTGTTTTTAGCCTAGTCCACTGTCCAAATCTTGAGATTTGAGGGCTCCAAGTACGGATGTTTGCATGATCCTATTGGCACTGTGGTTTTATGTGTTGAATCGATTGGTCGTTAGCATTGGTGCATGATAACTTGTTTGTGACTGAGATGCCCTATATGGATGACTGAGACGCGCAATAGAGTTGTGTAGGGGTTCAGTTTTTCAACTATTTGTTTATCAACTGCGACTTGAATTAGTCACTCATTTTCTACACTCGTTTATGCATCTAGTTCAGGGAATCAGAATGAGACATAAAGCATATAGGTAGCCATGTGATATTTGAGCCTGCTCATTTCTTTCTTGTGCGATAGATCCTTCTCCATGTTGTGTAGCATTCATGTTGCCACTAATTAGGATGATGAGGCATATGATTAACCAAC